CAGGTGTTTTGGAGCTCTCACAGTTCCTAAGAGCTGGCGAGCTGGCTGGGATTTCTGGGAGTTGAAGTCCAAAATAACATCCATTGACTCACAAGGAAAGAATGTGCATACTTTTTAAAATCATTCTTCACCTTTTTCTTGGAAATTAATAAACGTCAATGGAGACACCTTTTGTCTGCTAAAAGACTGATGCTTCATTTGGAAAGATACATTTTCTTTCCAAAAAGTTGTTTTGGGCTTCAACTCCCAGAAATCCCTGCAAGGGGGGAAGGGAAGCCTCTACATATACAAGGGCACTTGGCACCAATGGGGGAAACAACAGTAACACTGGAATGAGAGTGCGGTCATCCCTAAGTTCCTCCTAGATGAAAACAGAGGCACCAAGGAAGCAAAGGCCCTTCCAGAAAAGCTCTATATCCCAAGATCTGATCCCAGGTTTTCTGTTTATCCCAGATTATGTGGCAGTAAGGACATAAAATCAAGTTTAAAGCAGAAAACATGGGATCAGATCCTGGGATATAGGACCTGTCTAGAAGGGCCCTAAGACTCCTTCTGGATAGCTACCTATCTACCTACCTACCTTCTGAGGGCTGAAGATAATCTTGTACTTGCGGGTCCGTCCAGCAGCCTTATCGGCATTGACTATGTCTGGAAAGAGATTCAAGTTTAAATACAAGAGCAGCTGAGCCCAGCCCTGTCTGTACTGGTCCTCATCCATCCCAATGACACAGCTGAATAGACCCAATCTTTACAGTTGAAGATGCATGCTTGTCTTTTCAATGAAAAAGGCAGGACTAAGAGAATAATCATATATATTCAAGTATAAGGCAAGTTTTCAAATCCTGGGATATAGGGTCTGTCTGGGGCCCCTTCCACACAGCTGAATAAAATCCCACATTATCTGGAAATTCCAGGCGGCATTCGAGAATGATTTGTCCCTAATTATAAATGCCCAGTCCCTAGGTTGCCAGATAGTACTCAGTTTTGCACTCCATCCACTTCTCTTGCCCTATGGTACGCTCCTTGCACGATCCCTTGCCAACCCCTTTTATAGCTTGATCACACCTATTTTAGTAATCTTGGTCATTGTTTTTTGTTGAATCTTTCTTGATGGAGCTTCAACGCAATTTGTTTTATACTTTTATGTTTAGTGTGTTTTGATCTGGGTTGTGGTATTTTATGATGCTCTTATTTTAATGTGTTTTGTTTTCTTGATTTTTTTTTTTTTTTGCTATATCTTGTGGACATTCTGTCCCATATTTAAGGTAACGGTGCTACATGCAGTCATGCTGGCCATATGACCTTGGAGGTGTTTATGGACAATGCTGGCACTATGGCTTAGAAATTGAGATGGGCACCCCCCTCCCCCCCGCCGAGTAGGACACGACTAGACTTAACATTAGGGGAAACCTTTAACTTTACTTTAAAATAATAATAATAATAATTGCTCCACTCATTGACTGTTAACTCACCTGCCACATATTTCACATTCTTGATTCGCGGCCGGACCAAAAAGCACAGCCTTTTGGGAAAGATACAAAAAGACAGTAAAAGTGGCAGGAGAATTATGAGAGGACACCCTCTTCTTCCTTCTCAGTGATCCCGTCCCGATCACTTACTGGTCACTGCTACTGTGGGCTGGCTTGTTCTCCACCTTGTAGAGCTTGTCCACTTCATGTTGCTGTGCAAAGAAAAGACATCGGAAAATAATCAGGTCCATCTCCTGCATCGCACTCTCCTTTAGTTGTGAGGAAATCATAATAATCAACCACCTTGAGGATGGAGACGTTGGCYATGCGGTCCAGGGGGCTCATGAGGTCAGCCTCGATGAAGAGGTCCTTCTTCCCAGGGAGCTGCAGGGAGAAAGCCAGAAGCAAGGCCAGGAGGCAGTTCCATTATTTGACCCTGTGATCGGAGGTGACCCCCCCCCCCGGACTCAAAATCAGGGAATTCATCGTTTTGCCATGGACACCAGGCTGGAATGATCCCATAATCCCCTATCTTTTTGAATCACCCAACATAAAGGGTATCTCCCTATCTGCAAGGAACCAGAAATTTCCTCACAGCTTCTCCATTGTGTCATATCCTGACCGGCCAGAACCAACTTCAGCTTCCTCAATGAACCCTATATCCCAGGACTATAAAACAAAGGACCTAGCCCCTTGGGGGCTAGACAAAGATGATGATTCAAAAGATTAACACAATAACTTGGATCCAACTTAATGACCCAACGAGGGCCTAAGCAATCGTTGGGTCATTGGACAAACATTGGTCACCTTAATCCGGTCAACTAGACATCTCTTCATTGTCCCCTTGTTGCCTGCCTCGCTTCTCCTGCTGGATAGCTGATGTCGCAGCCAATAATAACAAAGCCAGATCGGTGCTGGGCATGGGAACTTTTGAATATAAAGGCTATATATTTTGTATTTCTCTGCCCAGTGGGCATGTCGATTTTTGGCAGGCTACTGCAATTGTCATCCTTTCCAGCTGGAATGAAATAAAACCTTGGTGGCTTTCTCTTCAACTTTTTGTGATTTATTCTGGAATACTGGCTTCTTTTCTCACCAGGCAACCCACAATGGCTTGGATCTCTCTATCCACAGCCACTCTAAATTGCTCAACAACACTGGGTCCTTCCACACTGCCATATAATCCAGATTATCAATCAGATAACATACATTATTTGCTTTGGCCTGGATTATACGAGTCTATACTAGGCCTGGCTCAACTTGGGCCCTCCCTCAGGAGTTTTGGACTTCAACTCCCACCATTCGCAACAGTTTCAGGCCCTTTCCTTTTCCCCCTCAGCAGGCTGTTAGGAATGATGGGAATTGAAGTCCAAAGCACCTGAGGGAGGGCCCAAGTTGAGGCAGGCCTGCTCTAGGCGGAGGCAATGCAACTCATCACCCCCAAACCAATGGGGTGATCCTCCCTCGCCCGTGTCCTTCCCCCTCACCTGCTCCAGGAGGTAGACCAGCTGGTCCCGGGCCAGGCGCTTCAGGAGGCCGAAGTCCGGCAGCTCCGGCGCGTCGCGGTGCCCGGGGGAGGCCATCGCGGAGGCGGAAGCAGCAACGAGGAATAAGCCCGGAACGCCGTCCTCCCCGGAACCATTCGCATTGGTCGCAAGATCCGGCGGACCGCTTTTTCCAGCGCGCCCGGAAGTGTCCCGCTACTACTTCCGTTCTATCTTGTATGTGTTAGAACCGGCCTCCTTCGCTGGTTTTGGATGCTGTAGAGCGGCCTTCCTCATCAGAGCCGGCCACATCCGGGTACTCCCGAGGGGTGGTTCAGCCACACTTCGGATTGGTCAGTTAATGCGCCTGCGCTCTCGGCTTCCTTCGCTGTTTGGGGTCCTACGGAGGCCCTTTGAGGTCATCACTGTCTTGATGTAACTGTGTTCCTCCCTCTATGATTCAGTTCATACACTTGTTATTGCTACTTGAGAGTAAGCATCTGCATACTGGGTGGTTGTGTGTTTTCCGGGCTGTCTGGCCATGTCCAGAGTGGAACAAAGGATTCCCCCAGTCAGGAAGCAGCTAGGCTTTGAAGCTGCAAGGCTATTCAATGCTACTCAAGATGGCCAATTGCAACATTCACACTTGCCTCCAGCAGACAAGAATTCTTTCTCCCACCCTGGACATTATTCCACAGATAATACCCTTTTAATCTTTGGGTTGCCATGAGTTTTCCGGGCTGTATGGCCATGTTCCAGAAGCATTCTCTTCTGATGTTTCGCCCGCATCTATGGCAGGCATCCTCAGAAGTTGTGAGGTGTATTGGAAACTAGGAAAGTGAGGTTTATATTGCTTTACTTCAGTCGGAAGCGACTGAACGAATAAACAACGATAACATTACTTTATTTACTTACTTAGGCAATCTTTTATAGCTCAAAAATGATGATCCTCCAAGTCTAGTGTCTTGGCGATGGGTTCGTAGGGGTTTAATAAATCTGTGGAATGATGTCCAGGGTGGGAGAAAGAACTCTTGTCTGTTGGAGGTAGGTGTGAATGTTTCAATTGGCGACCTTGATTAGCATTTAATGGCCAAGCAGTTTCAAGGTGTGACTTCTTACTGCCTGGGGGAATCCTTTGTTGAGAGGCGATTAGCCTCTCCAAAACACCTGAAGGACCCAAGGTTGGCAGCCACCCTGGGGTGGATGATATAACAGGCATGGACAAACTTGGGCTCTCCAGGTGTTTTGGACTTCCAACTCCAACCATTCCTAACAGCTGGCTGTTAGGAATTGTGGGAATTGAAGTCCAAAGCACCTGGAGGGAGGGCCAAAGATTGCCCATGCCTGCAATGTAACAATGCTTACAACATTTAAAAGAATATTGGACAACATTTGTAAATGGACAACATTTTTGGACAACATTTGTAAATGGAAGCATTTATAGAAGCTTAAGATTTCCCCCTGACATCAAGTCCAGTTTTGTACTACTCTAGGGGTTGGTGCTCATGTCCATTTCTAAGCTGAAGAGCTGGCGTTGTCCATAGACACCTCCAAGGTCATGTGGCCAGCATGACTGCATGGAGCACCGTTACCTTCTCGTCGGAGCGGTAGCTACTGATCTATTCACATTTGCATGTTTTCAGACTGCTAGGTTGGCAGAAGCTGGGGCTAACAGCAGCAGCAGTTCACGCCACTCTCCGAATTCGAACCTGTGACCTTTCGGTCAACAAGTTCAGCAGCTCAGCAGTTTAACCCTCTGCGCCACTGGGGCTCCTTGAAGCTTACAACCAATTAATTCATTTTTTCCTCCTTTGTGTTTAATTTTTCTGCTTTTGCCAAACTGGAACATAACTCTATATAACTGAGATACTGTTCAAAGGTAATTATGAATTTCAGCTACCACATGCCTCACACAGTGCTAGAGAAAGAATGTACCAAGGGACTGGATTCAGTCTCTTCTCTTCCAGGCTGTGATTTAGGCACTTTCTCTCAAAGATGGAAAAGTTTTAAGTGGGCTTCTTTTTGCAAGTAAGCAGAATAATAATAATAAAATAATAAAACTTTATTTATATTCCACCCTATCCCCCCACGTGGACAGAAAGTTTCTAATTCAATGCAGTGAATGGCACAAGATATGGAGGAGTATACGGTGAAATAAGTCTCAACCAGAATCATTTGAGGGAATATAACTGAAAGCCATTGTCCTCTTTCTCCTGATTATATCCCTATTTCTTGATTCTCCTCCTTTCCGATCCTTCATCCGGATGCTCCGCAGCATCACTCTGGAATCCCTCGTGCCCTAAAGAGCAGCCACAGCTTCTCCTCCAAGGCTGGGTGAGTCCCATGCAAGCCCCTCACCACCTCTGAGGCCCAGAGGAAGTAATCCTGGACTCGTTTTTCAGACCAACCTGTCCAAAGAGAGACCCCATAGTCAGAAAGTGACAAAAGTGTATGTCATGTATTTTCTGTCACAGTGACTCTGGCTCATGGCTAGGAGGCTTCACAGAGCCAGGAATTAAAGAGACTAAAGTTTCATCAGGAAATATACATTTTCTTTCCCTGCAATCCAATAAATCACAGGGAAAGGTATTTTGGACTTCCAGTTCCCAGAAAGTTGGCTTCCTTAGCAACTATTGTCCAAGAGATGCAATCCAAAGTTGCACAGCAGACCCTTCCCAGTTTCCCATTGCAATATCGTTTCTGGGCCCCATTTTCAAAATGCCACAGTTCTTATTTGGAGAGGTTTCATTTCATATTGCAGCATTCCACTTTGAGAAGGTATTTGTTGCAATTTGTATATAAGGTATGTATATTCATGATTAATTATGAAGTCAGGATGACTAGAGAAATCTCAGTTGCTGATGTAACCATGAATAATCATAGAATCACAGAATAACAGAGTTGGAAGAGACCACATGGGCCATCAAGTTCTACCTTGTCTCCTGCCTATGCCATCAGTTGGGAGCCCCTCCCCCAGCACCAACTGCTCCTCTGGGCCAGAGTGAAGAGAGAGGGGGCCAGGAAGACAGTTCCACCTTGTCTCCTATCCTATGCTAATAATATAATATAATATATTGTATATACATATAATATTTATAATATTCTAATGTAATATAATATTTGTTGTTGTTTATTTGTTCAGTCACTTCCAACTCTTCGTGACCTCATGGACCAGCCCGCGCCAGAGATCCCTGTTGCCCGTCACCACCCCCAGCTCCTTCAAGGTCAAGTCAGTCACTTCAAGGATACCACTTCAAGGCTTGTACTATACCATTATACTATAATATTATTATTAATATTACATGCAATATAAAATATATAATTATAATATTGTATTATTATTAATATAATACTAATAATAATAATATGATATAATAATTATATATTTAATATTACATGTAATATTAATAATATTATAGTATAATGGTCTAGTAAAATATAATAATATATAATACTGATATTGTGCTAGGCTAATAATATAATATATTGTATGTATATCTTGTAAGCTGCTCTGAGTCCCCTTTGGGGTGAGAAGGGTAGCATATAATAAATCTAGTCCAATCCCTTGCCATGCAACTATGTAAGTAATCCCAGGCAGCAGGGATAAAGTAATGTAATAGTTGATTGATTAATATCTGTATAAATTGGGACAGCAAATGTAACATTTCACCTTGTGGGTCAGTATGATCAGTATCATTGCTGTTTTTTGGGTGGGGGGGGGGGAGAGACATCGAAGAATTTGTTGTGAGTAGAAAAGACAGATTGTGTCTTGTACAGACTGTTTGTGTTTTGTATTACTGGACTACAAGAGATAGAGCCTTCCTGTTTTAAGAAAGATACTTCTGCTGTCTGCTTTTCAAATCACGCAAAGTCCAGGGTTACTGAGAACCGGAGCGGCTTGTACACTGACTAAACGCTAAGGTAAAAATACCTAACAGTATTCTGCTTTTCAAAACACATCAGGATGCAACAGAATAGAAATCTGGATAGATTGGCAAGGCAAACAGCCACAAGACGGACCTTGGGGAGTGGAACGGTTCAGGTCTCGCAGGTTATAGAGCTTGTCGGCCAGCTTGACAAGTCTGGCGCCGGGGCTCCTGCCAGCCGCATGCTCAACCTGCAGGCGCTTGCGTTCCATCTTGGGCAGTGCCTTGTCATCGGTCACTTCCTCCACTATGCGTCTGACCTCTGCCCCAAAGCGTTCCTCGATCTCCAAGAAGGTGGTATCAGTGTCTTCGACTGTGTCATGCAGAAGGGCGGCCTGGAGGGAGACAGACACTGGATAACTCTAAGAGCATTGCCTGAGTGTCAGCTGCAAACCTTTGCTGCTTCTTCAGGGATAAACAAACCTCCTTGGAGAAGAAAAGCTTCATACAAAAAGTCCATGCACAGGCTGTCACTGGAGGTTATTGTTAGGTCTGACAGCTCAGCCTTATAGCTTGAATGGTTTGGGTTGCAGCCTGAATGCTGGAACCATGGGACTGTCCTGACTCACCTGCAGCACCGCTAGGTCTGTGACTCCACCCTCCTGCGCCAGGATCTGGGCCACACCTGAACAGAATAAAATAACAGAATGTAATAACTTTATTGCCATTGTACATCATACAACAAAATTAATTGCCTTCCCAATACTATATGTAGAATTACAAAACAAAACATCAATCCTTCCACAGTCTCATCATTATTGCATAACCCCTAATGCTGTATCAGTGTGAAACCATAGAATTCAATATAGTCAGAGCTCTGGGATAAAAGTTCTCTCTGTTTGTGTGTTTTTATCATCTAATACAGCGTTTCTCAACCTGGGGGTCACAAGGGGGTATCAGAGGGGTTGCCAAAGACCATCAGGAAACACTGTTGGTCATGGGGGTTCTGTGTGGAAAGTTTGCCCCAGTTCTGTCATTGGTGGGGTTCAAAATGCTCATTGATTGTAGGTGAACTATAAATCCCGGTAACCACAAGTCCCAAATGTCAAGGTCTATTTCCCCCAAACTCCACCAGAGTTCACATTTGGGCGTATTAAGTATTCGTGCCAAGTTTGGTCCAGATCCATCATTGTTTGAGTCCTCAAACTCATTGTTTGTGTTTACCTACATCTCAAACAATAAGTTAACCTACATTGTTTGAGATGTAGGTAAACTACAACTCCAAAACTCAAGGTCAATGCCCACCAAACCATTCCAATATTTTCTGTTAGTCATGGGAGTTCTGTGTGCCAAGTTTAGTTCAATTCCATCATTGGTGGATTTCAAAATGCTCTTTGATTGTAGATGAACTATAAATCCCAGCAACTACAACTCCCAAATGACAAAATTAGCCCCTCCCCTTCGCACCAGTATTCAAATTTGGGTGTATTGGGTATTTGTGCCAAATTTGGTCCACTGAATGAAAATATATCCTGTATTTCAGATATTTACATTACAATTCATAACAGTAGCAAAATTCCAGATTTGGAGTAGCAACAAAAATAATTTTATGATTGGGGGTCATCATAACATGAGGAATTGTATTAAGGGGTTGCAGCATTAGGAAGGCTGAGAAACACTGATCTAATACTATCTTCCAAATGGAAATAATTAAAAAAAAAGAATATCCAGGGTGAGATGGATCCTGAAGAATATTCTGAGCTTTCCTAAGGCAGTGGGAATGAGAAAGTTCTTCCAAAGAGGCCAAAGTTTCCCCATCCCTGCTTAAGAGTCTCATAATAATACAATCTTTCCTGACCCCCTTTAACTATGTGTATGAATGGTGCCGCTGGTCAGGTATTCCTTAACAATGCAACACCAGGAAACTTAAATCTGGCCACCTGCTCTACTCTATTTCCATTTACAACCAAAGGCTGAATTTCTAATTTATTTCTTCTGTAATCTATCAGCTGCTTGATCTTATTGATGTTAAGAACCAAATTATGGTCCCTGGACCATGAAGTGGTGGATGGGAGCAGGCATGATTCCGAGGGGAGATAGTGGCCTCCTCTCTCCTGCCCTGGCTCTCTGCATGTGCCCAGGGGCTCACTGACCGATGGGGTGATTGATGTAGGGAGTGCGCTCAGGGTCCTTGCGCCGCTGGCTGGAGTGCTTGCAGGCAGCGAAGTGGGCAGCGTCCAGCAGCCGCACAGTCTCCGACATCCCCGCCATCCTCCGAGGCGCTTCTGGAAAGTCACAATCCAGACTCCTAATACTGGAAAGGATCCCCAAAGAGGGCAACTCAGTCAGACCCTGTTCTGGCAGGAAGAACACCATCTGATCCCTCCCAACAGATGACTATCCAGCCATAGATAGGATTGAGAGAGATCTATGATAGATATATCATATACTCCTAGTTGATAGAGAGCAACCCCACCCCAAAAAGGCCACCCAGTCCAACCCCCTTGTGGCGGGAATGGCACAAACCAGTCCCTCCCAACAGATGGCCATCCAGCCATCGATAGGATTGAGAGAGATCTATGATAGATATATCATATACTCCTAGTTGATAGAGAGCCGACCCCACCCCAAAAAGGCCACCCAGTCCAACCCCCTTTTGGCAGGAAGGACACCATCCAATCCCTCCCAACAAATGGCCATCCAACCATAGATAGGATCAAAAGAGATCTATGATAGATATATACTCGTAGTTGTTAGGGAGCCCACCCCACCCCAAAAAGGCCACTCAGTTCAACCCCCTTGTGGCAGGAAGGACACCATCCGATCCCTCTCAACAGATGGCCATCCAGCCATAGATGGATTGAGAGAGATCTAGGATAGATATATCACATACTCCTAGTTGATAGAGAGCCAACCCCACCCCAAAAAGGCCACGCAGTCCAAACACCTTGTGGCAGGAAAGACACCATCCAATCCCTCTCAACAGATGGCCATCCAGATATGGGGTTTAGGGTGATCTATGTATATTATACTTTTGTGCTTTRCCTCTCTCTATCCCCACTTCTCAGTTTTTTCTTTCTTTTTTRCCCCTTTTCTTTCTTTTTTTCTCATTCTCACTTTAGTCTGTAAAAAAATCGCACAATAAAAAGTATTATTWAAAAAAARACCAAAAAACAAACAAACAAAAAACAAACAACAGATGGCCATCCAGCCATAGATAGGATTGAGAGATCTATAATAGATATATCATAGACTCCTAGTTGATAGGGACCCCCCCCCCAAAAGGCCATCCAGTTCAACCCCCCCCCCCTCTAGCAGGAAGGACACCATCTGATCCCTCCCAACCAATGGCCAGATGAGACTTTGTGAGATATTCATTGAAAACTACAGCAAAATGTGTGATAGCAGGATGTCCCTCCCGCAAAAACAACGTTTGTGCAGTTTAATAAACTTCTTTCCCCATGTTTATGATATGTATGACCCAGGGACAAAAAAAAAATCAGATAGAGTAGGCTCTTCTTACCCTGAAGGGAGTTCTTCCTAATATTCAGGTTGAATCTCTTTCTCTGCCATTTATCATTATTATTATTATATTTAATAATAGGAAGGAAGAAGCCAAGCTTTGAAGCTGCAAGGCTATTCAATGCTAAACAAGGTGATCAATTGCTATATTCAAACTTGCCACAAACAGGCAAAGAGTTCTTTCTCCCACTCTGGACAAGCCAGAATTTTACAGCTAACTACACTGAAGTCTACTTCCTGGTGTGAGCTCTTCCTTCTGCCTGGGCAGGAAGTCCCGCTCTTCTCTATCCGTCAGCGCCACCTTGAGGCCGAGGGGAGTCACTGCGCATGCACCCAGCTCCCTTGCACAGAACTGAGAGTTCTCTTAGAATCATAGAGTTGGAAGAGACCTCATGGGCCATCCAGTCCAACCCCCTGCCAAGAAGCAGGAAAGTTGCATTTAAAGCACCCCTGACAGATGGCCATCAAGCCTCTGTTTAAAACCTTCCAAAGAAGGAGCCTCCACCACACTCCAGGGCAGAGAGTTCCACTGCTGAACGGCTCTCACAGTCAGGAAGTTCTTCCTCATGTTCAGATGGAATCATGGCACAAAGGAAACTCTTGATTGGTTCAGATGCAAAAAGTAGAAAGGATATCATGTTTAATATTAAAATTTTACAAAAATAGTTTAATCAATCATCTATAAAACAAAGGGTTGCGCAAGAATGCAAGGATTTTGTATATTTTCTTGCAACCCACAAAGGATTGAGATCAGCAATCTGTCATTTTTATTCCCGAGCTATACAAATGTTATTTCCCAATTGGTTCTGCCCTAAACACATGGAAAAGAGGGAGATCTTGCTGCACACTATATATTTATTATTTTATAATAAATATATAATTATATTACACTATGTAACGTTATGGAGCCCCTGGTGGCGCAGCAGGTTAAACTGTTGAGCTGAAGAACTTTCTGACCAAAAGGCCCTCCAAGGTCATTTACCCGGCCCTCGCTCAGGGTCAACCTAAGTCTGAAATGACTTGAAAGTACACAACAACAATCTTATCTCATCAGCCAAAAGCAGGCCCACACTTCCCACTGAAATACCAATCAGTTTATATATTTTTTATTGTTCATTTTAATTATTGTATTGATTTTAAGTGTTTTTGCACTACAAATAAGATATGTGCAGTGTGCATAGGAATTCATTCATGTTTTTTTCAAATTATAATCCGGACCTCCAACAGTTTGAGGGATTGTTTAAAAAGTTTGTGGACCCCTGGTCTAGTTTTTCAATGAACATCTCATCATTGAGCCTTAACCAAACTCAACCTAGTTTGTGGAAGCCACAAAAATGAAGTTTTTGGAGTAGAATAACTACTGTCAGAGTAAATGCCGCACTATTAAACGGGAAATAACACTTTCAAATGAAGAACAGTTATTTTCCCCCAAATTTTATTACATAATATTACTATTTATTATTGCAAAGCCTTGTTTTATTTTTATTTTTTTACAAATTCTTATAAAACAGTGCAACACGCCGGGCTTCTCTGGAACTGCACAAAGGGCCTTTTCCATGGGGCGTTGTGTCCATTGCTTTCAGAGATAGAGCTGTGACCCCTCATAATATGAGATTTCTTTTGGATGCAGGAGCCCCACAAATGCCTTGAGTCGTGGAAGGAAGCCCTCATCACTGCAGCCCTTTGGCCGGACCTTGGAAGTTGGGTTGCCAGTCATATAGGATGTTAAGGGACGGAAGAATGCATGGGAAACAGACTGATAATTTGGGCCTAGTAGTCTTGGCTGATAATACAAACCAGCTCAGACTGGAACTAGAGGCTACATGAAGAATTTCCGTGAACTGAGGGGGGTGGAGCGTGCCCGCCTTTTCTTTAGTCACAACTTTGCTGTAATGTAGGAACCTGGCACTAAAGACGTTTCCACAAATCTCTCGTGAGCGCTGTCAACTCCTATGAAGGTTCTGCCATCATCACCAAACTCTGGACATTTGCAGGTCCAGATTCCGGTTCCATCCTACACCTGTCCTTGCTTTTCACCTCCAAGGGCTACTTGGGACGGGCCTTTCTCCCGGAACCGAGGGCCAAAAGGGGCGGGGAGCTCCCTTCGGGGATGCGGTAGAGCAGGTTCCCCATGGCGTCAAAAACCTCCCTGCCTTTCTGTGGCTCTTTGCGTGCGGGCTCGCTCTTCTGGGTGATGGCGGCTGTGACCACGGCGTCCTGCTTGGTGGCGCGTGGAGGCGAGGGCTGGAAGCGGCTGCGGAGGACGCGGGTGATGACGTCAGGCGGCACCTGAAAGCCGCGGGCTAGGCGTTCCACGGGCCACTCCTCCGGCGACTCCTGCGAAAGGAACCTGAAAAGAAAGGGTTCAAAGTGGGTTTAGCTTTAGCTAGGCTCACTTCCAATGCTTGTTGGGCTTGGCCCCATGTAAGCCACCCTGAGTCCCCGCTGGGGAGATGGTGGCGGGGTACAAATAAAGTTATTATTATTATTATTATTATTATTATTATTATTATTATTATTATTATTATTATTATTATGTTGTTATTGTTATTATTATTGTTATTATTATTTAGCCAGTCTGAGTCCCTATATGGATGTAGAGAAGACCAGGATACAAAAGTTTTAAATAAATAAATAAATATTATTTATTTATTTAAAACATTTATATACCGCCCTTCTCACCCCGCAGGGGACTCAGGGCGGAGCACAACATATATTTGGCAAACATTCAATATCAGGACATAAAACCATAAATATATACAAACATTAAAATCACTTATATTCACATTAAAAGTTGCTTAAAAACCATCTCAGGACACCATTTTGCCTCACTGCACTGCCCCAAAGGCTTGGTCTCACAGCCAGGTCTTCACCATCCTTCTGAAGGACAGGAGGGAGGGGGCTGATCTAATATTGCCAGGAAGGGAGTTCCAGAACTAGGGGGCAATCACTGACAAGGCCCAGTCTCTCGTCCCTGCCAAACGCGCCTGTGATGGTGGCGGGACCGAGAGCAGAGCCTCTCCAGAAGATCTTAGTTTCCGCAGTGGTTTGTAAAGGGCAATGCGTTCAGACAGGTAAACTAGGCTGGGACCATTTATTTATTTATTTACTTTATTTCTATACCGCTTTTCTCAGCCCTCAGGCGACTCAAAGCGGTGAACAACATCAGTACAAAATATCACAAAACAAGTATAGGGCAATTAAAAACAATTATCACATAAATCATTAACATCAGTATAACAATCATTAGCGCCTCAACAGTAAAATCAGAATCCAGTCTCGTCATCCATTATTCCGTATTCCTATGTTCAATTACACTGTTTAATCAAATGCTTGTTCAAACAGCCAGGTCTTCACTTTCCTCTGAAATGCCAGCAGGGAGGGGGCCAATCTGATATCTGCAGGCAGGGCGTTCCACAGCCGAGGGGCCACCACTGAGAAGGCCCTGTCTCTCATCCCCGCCAAGCGCGCCTGTGATGCAGGCGGGACCGAGAGCAGAGCCTCCCCAGATTATCCTAGTGTCTTAGTCGGTTCATAGGAGGAGATGCGTTCGGAGAGGTAAGTAGGGCCAGAACCGTTTAGGGCTTTATAGGCCAAAGCCAGCACTCTGGATTGTGCCCGGTAGCAAACAGGTGGCTGACATAACATGGGAGTCGTGTGCTCCCTATATGCCGCCCCAGTTATTAACCTGCCTGCCTCTTGTTAAACTATTTGAAGCTTCCGAACCATCTTCAAAGGCAATCCCACGTACAGTGCATTGCAATAGTCTATCCTGGATGTAACGAGAGTGTAGACCACCATGGCCAAGTCTGACCTCCCAAGGTACAGGTGCAGCTGGCACACAAGTTTGTGCAAAAGCCCCCCTGGCCACCGCTGCAACCTGAGGATCCAGGCTCAGCGATGGGTCCAAGAGGACGCTCCTCCTTGCACTGCAACGGCTCCTCACCGGATCTGCTCCATGGCCTGGCGGGTCAGGGTGCGCTGGGGAGGGCCTCGTGGCTCCATCTGCTTCTGGATACGCCGCTCCCGCAACATCTTTGCCTGGCTCCGCAGGGCCCTGCAGGAAGGAGCGAAAACAAGGATCAGGGATAAAGCTAACATGGGCAAATTTGGGCCTACCCTCCAGGTGTTTTGGACTCCAACTCCCACCATTCCCAACAGCCTCAGGCCCCTTCCTTTTCCTCCTCAGAACGGACTGGCCATACAACATGGAAAACCACACAACACACACGACTATGAAAGCCTCCAACAAGATGAAGACTGGTTGGTGTGTATTTTCCAGGCTGTATGGCCATGTTCCAGAAGCATTCTCTCCTGACATTTTACCCACATCTATGGGAGGCATCCTCAGATTATGATGTCAGTTGGAAACTAGGCCAGTGATATACATACATACATACATACATACATACATACATACATACATACATATATGTAAAAAGTCCAGAGTGGGAGAAATAACTTTTGTCTGCATGAGGCATGTGTGAATGTTGCAATTGGCCACCTTGATTAGCATTTAATGGCCTTGTAGCTTCAAAGCTTGGACAGTTGCTACTTGGGGGGTGTTAGCTGGAATTCCAGACAAGAATCAAGCAGGGCCAGCCAGCTAACACCTTCCAACAAAGGATTCCCCCAGTCAGCAACCAGCCAGACTTTGAAGCTGCAAGGCCATTCAATGCTAATCAAGGTGGCCACACTTTCCTCAAGCAGAAGAGAGCTCTTCTCCCACCCTGGACATTATTCCACAGATATGTGAATTCCACTTGCTTAGTGCAGCTACAAAGCCTGGCTGGTTGCTGCTTGGGGGAATCCTTTGAAGATGAAGACTATGTTAGCACGAACAGAAGCAGAGTTTCCAAGATGAGTTTTAAAACTCAAAACCAATGCCTTGACAGAGGCAAAGGTTTCATGGAATCATAGATAAATAGCGTTGGAAGAAATCGCATGATTTATTTATTTACTTCATTTGTATACCGCCATTCTCAGCCCTAAGGCGACTCATAGCGGTTTACAACAAGCAAAAACAAGGCGAACAATCAAGGCAAAAATTCAATGCGGCATCAACAAGGTACTTAAAAACAGTTAACACAGAAACAAATTAAACAATTTAACAGTAATAAACATTCAGTGGCGTCTCATAACTAGAATCATGATCCAAACTCGTCAGTCGTAGTTCCATTTCCTGAAATTCATTGCACTGCTTATTCAAACGCCTGTTCAAATAACCAGGTTTTCACTTTCCTCCGGAATACCATCAATGAGGGGGCCAATCTGATGTCCGTGGGAAGGGCGTTCCACAGCCGAGGGGCCACCACCGAGAAGGCCCTGTCTCTCGTCCCCGCCAGCCGCGCCTGTGTTGCAGGCGGGATCGAGAGCAGGGCCTCCCCGGAAGATCTCAAAGTCCTAGTGGGTTCGTAGGTGGAGATGCGATCGGATAGGTAACTTGGGCCAGAACCATCTAATGCAACCTCAAAGCACATTTAATCACCCCAACAGATGGCCATCCAGCCTGTTTAAAAGCTTCCAAGGAAGGAGCTTCCACTACACTCCGAGGTAGAGAGTTCCACTGTTGAACAGCTCTTCTTACAGTCAGGAAGTTCTTTCTAATGTTCAATGGAATCTCCTTTCTTCCCTGTCATTTGAACCCATGGCTCTTTTTAGTTCAAGTTTCCAGGGCAGTAGAAACACAAGCCCTGCTCCCTCTTCCTTATGACAGCCTTTCATATGGGTCTCATGGAGCCCCCGGTGGCACAGTGGGTTAAAGCCCTGTGCCGGCAGGACTGAAGACCGACAGGTCGCAGGTTCAAATCCGGGGAGAGGTGGATGAGCTCCCTCTATCAGCTCCAGCTCCTCATGGGGACATGAGAGAAGCCTCCCACAAGGATGATAAAAACATCAAATCATCCAGTCGTCCCCTGGGCAACGTCCTTGCAGACGGCCAATTCTCTCACACCAGAAGCGACTTGCAGTTTCTCAAGTCACTCCTGACACGACAAAAAAAATAAAATATGATTCTCATGTCTCCTCTTCTGCAACTAAAGAGTCCTAGCTCTTTAAATTGCTCCTCAGAGGGATTATTCATGGTCTCTAGGCCTTTTAAGTTGTTCTCCTTTAGTGGGAGTTGAAATCCAAAACACCTGGAGGGTGGGCCCATATCTGGGATAAAGCCTCAGTGGAGACCCTTTCCCCCCAGGAGTGGATTCCCATTCCTAGGAATAGATTCCCCTCACTTCCTGTTTTCTCAGCCCCATGCTTAACTAGGAGCCGGATGTAAACAGAACGTTTGTAACTCTGGGGCGGCCTGTACTGAAATTCTTGCTCTTCCTCCCCGACTTGCTCACCTCTCCAAGTTAACCTCCGGATCCTCGGATGCCTCCAGCCTCGTCGCCAAGCGAGCCGCCCTCTGAAGGCCCAGAAGCAGCTGCCGCCTCGGAGGCCCCATCACGAAGGAAGGAAGGAGAGCAGGGAGAGCAAAAGAAGGTCGCCCACGCGTGGCCTCGGCGGCGTGACTTCCGGGTCCCAGGCCACGCCTCCCCCGTCCCCAGGACAAATCAGCAGGCACTGAAAAGCCCATCGATGGCCCATAACGCTAATTCACACTATGGTGTTTGTTCCTGGGTTATAAAATGTCATTATTTCATTATTGGTTGTATCCTAAAAAAACATATTTAATATCAAACAATTTAATAATGGAATAATAATGGAATAGCATATTATTATTATTATTATTATTATTATTATTATTATTCTATGCAACACTATGATTGCATAGAATTATTATTATTATTATTATTTCATTATTGGTTGTATCCTAAAAAAACATATTTAATATCAAACAGTTTAATAATGGAATAATGGAATAACATTATTATTTTTCTTATTCTATGCAACACTATGATTTCATAGAATTATTATTATTATTATTATTTCATTATTGGTTGTATCCTAAAAACATATTTAATATCAAACAGTTTAATAATGGAATAATAATGGAATAACATATCATTATTGTTATTATTATTATTATTATTATTTCATTTTTGGTTGTATCCTAAAACATATTTAATATCAAACAGTTTAATAATGGAATAATAATGGAATAGCATTATTATTTTTCTTATTCTATGCAACACTATGATTTCATAGAATTATTATTATTATTTCATTATTGGTTGTATCCTAAAAACATATTTAATATCAAACAGTTTAATAATGGAATAATAATGGAATAACATATTATTATTATTATTATTATTTCATTATTGTTTGTATCCTAAAAACATATTTAATATCAAACAGTTTAATAATGGAATAATAACGGAATAACTTATTATTATTATTCTATGCAACACTATGAATGCATAGAATAATTTTTTATTATTATTTCATGATTTTATTATTAGTTGTATCCTAAAAATATATTTAATATCAAACAGTTTAATAATGGAATAATAATGGAATAACATATTATTATTATTATTATTATTATTATTATTATTATTATTTGAAACACAGTAAGATGAGTCCACAGCAGACCCTTTACTGGCTGTTGTATTGAATCGCACGTCGGACACTTCCCAAGTGTCTAGGACTGTGTGATGTATTATTATTATTATTATTATTATTATTATTATTATTATTATTATTATTATTTCATTATTGGTTGTATCCTAAATCTTATTTAATATCAAATAGTTTAATAATGAAATAATAATGGAACAACTTATTATTATTATTATTATTATTATTATTATTATTCTATGCAACACTATGATTGCATAGAATTATTGTTATTAGTATTTTTATTATTATTTCATTATTGGTTGTATCCTAAACAACATATTTGATATCAAACGAAAATCCCCAAGTGATAAAATGCTAGCCAAGGGGCTGCCCTTGCTACTTGAGGCCACAGAATACCCCTAGGTTCAGAGGCACAGAGTCTTCCTAGTTGGTGCCGGTGGCTAGGAAGCCCCCACTCGTCTAGTCAGCCTCTTTCCTGTTTACCCATGGAGTAGACTACCACCACTGGCTGTCGCAGGGCCCTTCCTTTGTCCCGACGAAATCCCTCCTCCTTCAGCACCTGGTGATGCGATGGACAGGCAGACTCTCAAGCACATAACTGTATAAAGCTTTAATAGAAAGTGGGCTATAAAAGGGGCCCTACCCGGCCTGCAGCCCCGCTCTGTCCGGTCAAGCAGCCTCCGTGTGCCAAAGGGGTCGGGGCTGCCGGCAGGCGGAGGAGGTGGCAGAAGAGCCCCGGTGGCGGCTGTTGCCGGAAAGGGACCACAGGGCAGAGGGCACTCTTCCCTCCAGAGTCCGGGGCCACAAGGGCTGTGGCAAGGCAGGGCAGCCTCAAATGCCCCCTGGCCCCTCTTGGCATAGCCACGGTGCCCTCCCAGCAGGCCCCCTCTTCGGGCTCCTCCAGTCGCCACAGCACTGGAGATTCCAGTCAAGCCTCCTTCCTGCGCAGGAGGAGGACAAAGGGGCCTGCAATGAGGAGGACGGGGCCCCTGCGCGCTCCCTGCCAAGGGGCCAGAGGGGAGGGAGTGCCGCTACCTGGGCAGGTGGAGGTGCAGTGAGGCGGCCACCGTGTTGGAGCGATGAGGGCTGCTGCGGCGCAGGAGGGGGGCTGAGGCGGAATTGATGGTCAGCCCTCGCAGCAGTTCGGGGTGGTGATTGTGGTGTTTGATAGGGGCAGGAATGGAGGAAGGGAAGGGGAAGCTGCCGTTGAGCGGTTTCCCACCACCATGAGAGAGGCAGTTCAGGGAGCCAGAGCCCATGTACAAGGGCCGCTTGTGCGCAGGGCTTCCAGGAAGAGAGGAAGAGGCGGCGACAGCAGAGGCAGCGTGGGAGGCCCGGGCCCAGCCCAGGAGAGGAGGAGGAGGCGGAGGCGGCGGTGGCACTATGGCTCTGTGTGGAAGGGGAGAGGGGTGACTCCGGGAGGTGCCCCTCTGCGGCCGAGGGACCCTGCTCCTAGCGCCACTGCCCCATTCAGGGGCACCCCCTTTGGCGGGTGCCAGCTCCAGCACCCGGGGGCTGAGCGCAGCATACTCACTGCCATCCGCCTTGCTCTTGGCGCTGCCAAAGCGCCGCCCTCCGGCCCGCAGCATCTGGGCCAGCGTGCAAGGCTGTCCCACCATGGCGGTGCCCAGCCAGCTGATGTTCCTGTGGGGCAGCGAAAAGGTGCCACCCTCGTGGTGGGCCCCCAGGCTGGACAGGGTGCCCAGGATGGTGGGGATGAAGCCTTGGTTGCCTAGCAGCTGGATGCGGGCGGCGGGAGGCGGTGGCGGCACAACCTGATGCCCGAAGCGGGGCAGGAAGGAGACAGGGACCAGGGTCATGGAGCTCTGGGAATCGCGGTTGTTCAGCACCTCCTGGATGAAGTGAGACTGAAGCAGAAAAGCAGTAGGTTGAGCAGCTGGAAGGAAAGCACTGCTCCCCAGATGGCTCCGAGAGGCCCCACTTTCCTCGGGTTCCTTCTTAAGGGCTCCCTGCTCTCCCCAAAACTGAGCCACACCACCCCCTCGACCTGCAGGCCCCACCTCCCAGGCTCTGCCAGTGTGTGGATGTGTCCCTCACCCATGGGGTCCCTGCGCTTTCTAAAGAGCTATCCGGTGTTTTTGTACCATTTTTGACACCGGGAGCTCAGGCACCCATAGCCCGGCTTTGGCCAACGGGGAAGGGCACCACAGTCAGTGGCCCCAGAGAAGGGATTTGCCTACAACTGAGCCACTGCCACCGGATCTCCCAGGTTGGCTCCAGATGGAGGGCCTACCTGGCTTTCAGCGAAGTTGATGCGGGGCTTCTGGATCTCCAAGGGGCTGGGCTCACTGCGGCTCAGCAGCCGGGTCAGCATGTCGATGACGCCCAGCCCTCGGATGAGGTTTTCCCGTCTCAGGAGGGCCTTGACCCGCTCTACCTCTTCCTCCTCCACAATGGCCTGAGGGGTCATGCTATCATAAGGCACAGAGGACACCTGGGGAACAAAGCCAAGACTGAGCTGAAGGGGATGGGGATGGGTTAGCCAGATGGTTCCCGCACCCATTTCTGTCTCTCTGAGACCTTGAGGCAGAAAGCCCTCCCCCGATCTGTGGGCTCCCCTATGAAGGCCCTGGGCACATGCTGGGGGGGGGGGGGATGACACATAGGGATTGGCTCCCTTGGAATGTCAGGGTTCAGAAGGAAACAAAACAACAGGACTCTCACATTTTGTTTGTATTGTTTATTTGTTCAGTCACTTCTGAAATGACCTCATGGACCAGCCCAGGCCAGAACTCCCTGTCGGCCATCACCACCCACAACTCCTTCAAGGTTAAGCCAGTCACTTCAAGGATGCCATCCATCCACCTTGCCCTTGGTCCGTCCCTCTTCCATTTTCCCCATCATCTTTCTCTTTTCCAAGCTTTCCTGTCTTCTCATTATGTGGTCAATGTACATCTAATATCCTTCCCTTCAGTGAGCAGCCAGGTTTTATTTCCTGGAGGACAGACTGGTTGGATCATCTCGCGGTCCAAGGCACTCTCCTCCAACACCACAGTTCAAAAGCATCTCTCTTCCTTCACTCAGCCTTCCTTATGGTCCAGATCTCACATCCATAGGTTACTACAGGGAATCTCATTGCTTCAACTATGTGGATCTTCGTTGCCAGTATGATGTCTCTACTCTTCACTACTTTATCAAGATTCGTCATTGCTCTCTTCCCAAGAAGTAATCTTCTTCTGATTTCCTGACTGCAGTCTGTGTCTAGTCATCTTTGCGCCCAGAAATACAAAGTCTGTCACTGCCTCCACGTTTTCTCCCTCTATTTGCCAGTTATCAACCCATCTGATTGCCATCATCTTGGTTTTTTTTGCATGTTTAACTGCAACACAGCTTTTGCACTTTCTTCTTTCACCTTGATTAGAAAGCTCCTCAGCTCCTCCTCGCTTTCAGCCATCAAAGTGGTATCATCTGCATATCTAAGGTTATTCATGTTCCTTCCAGCAATTTTAACTCCAGCCTTGAATTCAAGCCCCGCATTTTGCATGATGTGTTCTGCATGCAAGTTGAATAGGTTGGGTGAGAGTAGACAGCCCTGGCACACGCCTTTCCTAATCTTGAACCAGTCTGTTGTTCCATGGCCAGTTCTTCCTGTTGCTACTTGGTCCTTATACAGATTCCTCAGGAGAGAGACAAGGTGATTTGATATGCCCATCCCACCAAGAACTTGCCACAATTTATTATGATCCACACAGTCAAAGGCTTTAGAATAGACAATAAAACAAAAATCGATGTTTTTCTCCATTATCCAGCGGATATTGGCAATTTGGTCTCTCGTTCCTCTGCCTTTTCTAAACCCAGCTTGTCCATCTGGCAACTCTCGCTCCATGTATTGCTGGAGTCTTCTTTGCAGGATCTTCCTTGCAGAATCATGAGATGTTATGATGTTTATTGATGTGTTATTCTTTTAACTTGTTTTAACTGTTTTTGTCATGTTTAAGTATTGTATTTGCTTTGTTAACCGCTCTGAGTCGCCCTGAGGGCTGAGAAGAGCGGTATACAAATATAGTAAATAATAATAAATAAATAATAAATCTTGAGCATTACCTTACTAGCATGTGAAATATGGAGATGGAAATAAGGTTCCATCCTCATAAATGCAAGGAGCATGGGGGTGCATGTGTGTGTCACAGCTTGTCCTTTCCCCAAAACAAGGAAGGAAAGAAGGGGAAGGTTAGTGGGGAACTGCATGGAGAAGTCTTTGGGGGTCAACCTGCAGAAACATCTGCTGAGGCAGAAGCACTGGGTCCCATGTCCCACCCGGCTCCTCCAAAATGGAGTGGAGGCTACTACCTTTGGGTTCCAGTTCTTGCTGTGGCTGTAGGCGATCCGAGTGAGGGCAGCCTTGGCCCTGGCCTTCTCCTGAGCCTTCTCCCCAGCGGATTCTCCCTGCAGGTTCTCCTTCCCCTCCTTCCGCTTCTTCCCGGCTGCATTCTCCCGCTGCTGCTCCTGCTTCTGGCGGATTTCCTCCAGCTGTTGCCTGGCAGAGGAGGGGGAGGCTGCAGTGCATGGCAAGGGTCACCTGGGGCTCCCCAGAACAAGGGAGACAGGCAAATAATGGGGGGGGGTGCTCTTTCTCTGGAGATAATGTCTTGCCCTCCCGCTCCCAGGGCGGGTACCTGGCACACTCTTCCCTGGCCTTGGAGGCCACGGTCTCCTGGAAGAGGGACCCGCTGTGCTTGAAGAAGGGAGCGTATTTCTCAGTGCTGCCGGAGGGGAAGATGCGCCGGTAGCCTCCCAGGTGGCTGCTCTCGTACTTCTCTGCCTGGGCCAGCCAGGCCGCCTGGTTGCTCTCCATCTGCTCCCGCCTGCAAAGCAAGAAGGGTCTGGTTGTCCTCTCCCCTCTTTGGAAGAACTTTATAATTCCCGCTGCCTTTAGAAAGCTCAAAATATGCTTAAGGGTCCATCTCACTCTAGATATTCTTTTTAAAATTATTACCATCTGGCAGAGAGTATAGGATGATAAATACAAGGACAAATGGACAGAGATGATGATGATGATGATGATGATGATGATAAAACTTTATTTATACCCTGCCACCATCTCCCCAAGGGACTCGGAGCGGCTTACATGAGGCCAAGCCCAACAACACATTAAAAACAACAAGCAGTAATAAAATAACAAGCAATAAACAAAATAAACAATACAATTAATATAACTCACGGGTAGACAATAAACACAAGCATTTAAAAACCTATGGCTGGAGCAAATGTAATAGTTAAAACTTTAAAAATAAATGCTGGACATGAACAGAGGGTGTATCTATTTGGAGGGTTTTAAATCAAAAGTAAAGAGCAAGCCAATGGGTAATTAAAGTGATTCTCAGAGTATTTGCAGGGGATAATTTTTTTCCCACAGCTGTGACTATATGGAACTCTATGGTTTTACACTGATGTGGCCTTAGGGTCTTGTCCAGTCATCTGAGGGGTTGATGCACTTGCCCGTGTCCGCAATCCACCCTGCCCATCCTCCCAGGTACCTGGTCTCCCTGGGGGGCTGGTGGGGCTGGAGCAGGCGCTCCTTCACCCGCCTCTTGTCTTCCTCCAGCACCTTCCTCTTGTCGCAAGCCCGCAGGTTGATGAGGTTGAGGGCATCGCAGAGTAGGGCATCCTTCACTTCCCGGTCCAGCCGGGAGTCTGTGGTGAAACTGGGGGAGTGGTTGACCTAAGGAAAGGGATAGGGGCGCAGAGTCAGCCCACCTTGCGGAAGGAAGGGATGGCTCTGGGAGGCCTTTTAAACTCCTGGACATCCCAGCTCTTTGGAGGGACTGTGCCTCTCCTTAAAGAAAGTGCAGCAGGCCCTCCCCCAGGACCTTCCAGGGCTTAATGGAAAACTAAAAGTGGAAGTGGAGAGGGGACCACCTGCTTATGGGCTTGAATAAAAGGGAGTTGTTAGGACATAGTAAAAGTAAAGATTTTCCCCTGACATTAAGTCCAGTCGTGTCCGACTCTGGGTGTTGGTGCTCATCTCCATTTCTAAGCCAAAGAGCCAGCGTTGTCCGTAGACACCTCCAAGGTCATGTGGCCATATGCATGACTGCATGGAGCACTGTTACCTTCCCGCCAGAGCAGTACCTATTGATCTACTCACATTTGCATGTTTTCGAACTGCTAGGTTGGCAGAAGCTGGGGCTGACAGGGGGAGCTCATGTCGCTCCCCAGATTTGAACCTGCCATCTTTCGGTCAACAAATTTAGCAGCTCAGCAGTTTAACCCAGTGCACCACCAAGGGCTCCATTGTTAGAACATAGGAGGGCTTTAAAAACTGACTGGCTACGCCAGGGGATTTCCCAAAGAAACAATTCACTTTTTTATATTGTCGAAGGCTTTCATAGTTGGAATCACTAGGTTGCTGTGAGTTTTCTGGGCTGTCTGGCCATGTCCAGAGTGGAACAAAGGATTCCCCCAGTCAGGAAGCAGTCAGGCTTTGAAGTTGCAAGGCCATTAAATGCTAATTGAGATGGCCAATTGCAACATTCACACCTGCCTCAAACAGACAAGAATCCTTTCTCCCACCCTGGACATTACTCCACAGATATATAAATCCCACTTGCCAAGTTTCCAACCGACCTCACAACCTCTAAGGATGCCTGCCATAGATGCAGGCGAAGCATCAGGAGAGAATGTTTCTGGAAAATGGCCCAACAGCCCGGAAAACTTGTAGCAACCCAATTCACTTTTTTATTTTTATAAATAGCAAGGGCTTCAAAAACAGTCTTTGAGCCACACTATGCCCAGCCCCATGCTAAAGGCAATGGGAGAAAGCCCATGGTCTACAAGGGAGGCATAGTGTGGCAGGATGTCAGAGGGCGAAGTACTGCTGGGGTCCTGCTTCAGGCAGAGAGAGTGTGAGTGGGAGAGAGACCGAGTAATTTCACTCGCCTCCAAGAGCCAAGGCTTGAGCTTCCTGTCGAGGAGGATGTCGAAGCCCAGGATCTCGAAGCATGCGCAACCCGAAACGTGGTTGGGGAAGCAGGTGCGGTAGTTATGCTTCAGCACCGGGTGGGCAGCAACAAGGGTTTTGATGATGATGTCCTCGATGTCTCTCCACAGCTCGGCTGTGTCGTAGCTGTGCTCCCGCATCCAGGCATTCAAGGTGGACAGCTTCCTGTTTGGGTCACAGAGAGGGGAAGGTGTCTGGGAGGGTCGGTTGGGAGGTGCCAAGGCCTGCCTTGGGAAAGAGCAGAGGCCTTCTTGCCCAAATGCATAATGGGAAGCAGGGCAGCCCCAATCCCTCAATACCTCTTGCTCCCTGAGTAGTCATCACGCACAAAGTTCTCATTGTGCTTATTGATGGCGTAGTTGGTGAGGTGCATGCAGATGTCCTCCTGGGGAGGGAGGGATAGTAGGAGGTGTTAGGGAATACTACGCTAAAATAAAACAGGGCATCCAAAAACAAACAGGATACAAAATCTTGAGCATCAGCTTTTTAGTGAGCAGAGCATGAAGTACCATGTGATGTGGCTGTAAAGAATTCAGAGCTTAGGAGGCAAACATGCAGAGTCCCATCTTAAAAATCACAAAAGGTTTATTTACAATAATAAGAAATAAATGCATTTCTTCTGAGTAATGAACTGGGTCTGAGCTACTCTTAACACCCATCTCTTCTAAGGTTTTGAGAGGGGGAAAATTAATATAAATATATGAAAATAAATAAAATTAATATAAATATATGAAAATAAATAAATAAAATACTCTTAACACCCATCTCTTCTAAGGGTTTGAGAGGGGGAAAATTCATCATGAAGCACTACATCTCTCCAGACACACAAGCAGAGAGAGATCTCAAAGCACACAGCACATACTCTCCATACTAAAGTGTAAGAAGGTAGAAATGAAATGCAAAGATACAGAATGGGGGATGCGAGGCTCAAGAGCAGTACGTGTGAAAAAGATCTTGGAGTCCTTGTGAAAAACAAGTTAAACATGAGCCAACAATGTGATGCGGCGGCAAAAAAGCCAATGGGATTTTGGCCTGCATCAAGAGGAGTCTAGTGTCTAGATCCATGCTACCCATGCTCTATTCTGCCTTGGTCAGACCACACCTGGAATATTGTGTCCAATTCTGGGCACCAAATTGAAGAGAGATATTGACAAGCTGGAATGTGTCCAGAGGAGGGCAATTAAAATGATCAAGGGTCTGGAGAACAAGCCCTATGAGGAGCGGCTTAAGGAGCTGGGCATATTTAGCCTGAAGAAGAGAGGCTGAGAGGAGATATAATAGCCATGTATAAATATGTGAGAGGAAGTCACAGGGAGGAGGGAGCAAGCTTGTTTTCTGCTTCCCTGGAGACTAGGACAATGGCTTCAAACTACAAGAAAGGAGATTCCATCTGAATATTAGGAAGAACTTCCTGACTGGGAGCCGTTCAGCAGTGGAACTCTCTGCCCTGGTGTGTGGTGGAGGCTCCTTCTTTGGAAGCTTTTAAACAGAGGCTGGATGGCCATCTGTCGGGGGTGATTTGAATGCAATTTTCCTGCTTCTTGGCAGGGGGTTGGACTGGATGCCCATGAGGTCTCTTCCAACTCTATGATTCTATGAAGTCAGATTCAAAATTTTGCAATAGAAAATTATCCATTTTAAAGAACTAATCAGAAAAGAAACAGATACATTCCCAACTGTCATACAGGAGACACAGGGGAAGGAAACCCTCGGACTCTTCTAATGCTAACTAACTTCTCCTTGTTAAGAACTGCAGACTTGAGTGGTGTGGGGTTGAATTCCAATGGGAGGGTCGGTCTCCAACCACCCAGCGTCTCCTTCCACATGTGGCTAAATACGGATGGATACCGGGGCAGCCAGCATCTTCCAAGTGGAGGAATTTCCAGTCTCTGTCCCAGATGGGCAGAATCTGAGACAAAACCCAAGCTGACCATGGGCAGATACACCACAGGCGCTCTGCCTGTCCTGCAGCAAGACTCATGGGAGGAACCCCGCCAATCAATGTATTATCCTACAAAGCATATACCAGTTCCTGGGAAATGTCCCTTCTTTACCAGGTTGCCGTTGCTGGGCTCGATGTACCTCATGGTGGCAAAGCGGGCCAGCCCCTCCTCGTAGACAAAGATTCTCAGCGGGTCGCAAGAAGTGACCAGAACATAGATGCGCATGTCGAACTTGAAGCCATCAATGAGGAAGGGCTGCAAGGACATGGGCAGAGTGAAATGGATCAGCAAGGGAGGGCAGGCCTAGCAGCTTTTTCCACTGGGCACAAACAGCACCATTGTGGTTGCAGACTAAGCAGGAAGTGGAAATTTTGTGTGTCCTTTCCCTTCCCTGGCCCTACCTTGGTGACATACTGTTGGCAAATCATGTGCTCCCCATGCTTGATCTCTTTCGGGTTGCGTGTGATGAAGATGCCTCGCCCTTGGCAGCCGCTGTCTGGCTTGCAGATGTATGTCCGGTTCTTCCGCATGCGGCCATAGGCTTGGAAGTCCCCGTAGCTGTGCCAAGACAGGAGAGAGTTCAATGTGCAAGAGGATCCACATATCCTCACAATGTCAGGAGTGAGCACGTGTATTATGTGAGTGGGGTGTCATCTGCTTCATGGATCCCCTCACTCACTCTGCTGGCAGGCACCAGGTGCGAGGGAAAATGCTGTACTCTTTGGGGAAGAGCTTGAGCATGCGGTTGAGGTTGCGGGCAAGCAGGTCCTTCCGGCAGATCTCTGCCATGCCTGGGAAGTGGTTGATTTTCTGGAGAAATAGAAGAGCAGGGTGAGATCCCTGAACCCTTTCAAGTATTCTCATGAGTGTCTCCCTAAGTCCTCGTCTCACACACCTATGACATTTTAATTCCTGCAGTCTTACTAAATGTTAAAAACTCTGGCATAGACACTGAGAACTGGGAAGCCCTGGACCTTGAGCGCTCCAGCTGGAGGTCAGCTGTGACCAGCAGTGCTGTAGAATTTGAAAAGTCATGAATGGAGGGCGAAAGAGAGAAACGTGCCAAGAGGAAGGCGCGTCAAGCCAATCCCAACCGGGATCACCTTCCACCTGGAAACCAATGCCCTCACTGCGGGAGAACATGCAGATCAAGAATAGGGCTCCACAGTTACCTATGGATCCACTGCCAGTACACCAATCTTGGAAGACAATCCTATTCAGACAACGAGGGATCGCCTAAGTAAGTAAGTAGGTACTAGATGTTGTAGTTCAGTCCACGGTGGTGTCTGATATTACTGTTAATGAGGATTCTAGGCCTGAGATTTTAAGTCCCGAAACTGAGCAGTCTGTGTCTCCAACTAGTTAAGGCCACATTCCAGAGGATAAAGTGGAGCATCTAGGGAAAGGAGTTCAGAGGCTGAAACTCCAGGTGCTGAGAATAACAACCTTCAAGATAATGGTAATGAGTTTGTTGATAGGAGACCTAGTTTTAGTAGACTTCAGGCTGACCAACAAAGAATATGAAGGTCACAGCGCTTATTAGAAAAGAGGCCCATAGCTGAATCTCATGTGAAATTCGGGTATATTAGGGAGGCCGGGAGTTTTGCCCAGCAGTCTAGTTAATGTTGCTATTTGAGGCAACAGCTCTTGCCAAGGGAATTACAGTTCCATGCTCTTGTTCATGTATCTCCTCCCCCAGCAACAATATAATATTATATAATACTAATATTATGAATGATGTATTAGTACTATGCTAATAATGTAGTATGTTGTATGTACATATGACTTGTAAGCCACTCTGAGTCCCCTTCAGGGTGAGAAGGGCGGCATATAAATGTTGTAAATAAATAAAAAAATATCTTGCTTCCAAGTTTGAAGAATTGTTCCTGTATTCTTATATTGGATTCTATGCTGCCTTGTATTTCCTGGTTTCATTTGTATTCCTATGGTGGGGGTTCTGCTATTTGGGGATCCTTGAACCTTGTGGACTATTTTTGCTTATGGGCAATGAAGTTTTACTACTTTTGCTGAACTGCTTTTTTGTATAATCTATATACATAAAAATGTAATGTTTGTTTGTGGGATTAACTTAACTTAAAAACCACTGGACGAATTGACACCAAATTTGGAGACAAAACACCAATCAGACCAACGAGTGACCATCACTTATAAAAACACTAAAAAACACAGCAGAGGGGACTTAAAAATCCAAAAAACAAAAAATACATCACAATGCATGTCCAAAACCACACACACACACACACACACACATATATATACACACGCAAACACACATATATACACTAATAATAATAATAATAATAATAATAATAATAATAATAATAATAATAATCTTTATTTATACCCCGCCACCATCTCCCCAACGGGGACTTGGGGCAGCTTACATGAGGCAAATATATACACACACAAAACACATATACACAGACTGGGCCACAGCAATGCGTGGCAGGGGACGGCTAGTCTCCAATAAACTGCTTTGCTGATTTAACTTGGTTTGGAGTGTGGTGGTTAAGGACATAGATGTTTTTCTGGCCTGGAGTGCAACAACGGACACCTTCTATCTTAAATCAGAAATCATTGGCCTTTTAATCAATAAATGACAATAACATTACTCTATCAGTGATTCCCAAACTCTAGTCCTCCAGGTGTTTTAGACTTCAACTCCCAGAAGTCTCAGCTTTCTTGGTCAATGATTAGGGATGCTGGAACTGAAATCCAAAACTACTGTAAGATCAGACTTTTGGAAACACTGTTCTATAGTGCTCCGTTCTGTGGCTGTTGCCCACTGGCCTACCAAGTTGTTTTCTCCCCAAAAGCCCAGCCTCTGACTCCTGCTTCTGTGGCAGGTACCTGAAACCTTTTCATCTCCATGACACGCTCCAGGGAGACAGAGCAGTCTGTCCAGTAAAGGGTCCACTCCTCATCCTCCCCGACTTCTTTCAGTCCACAGCGCCGCGCAGCACGCCTGACTGCAGCACAAGAAGCAGAGATTCCCAAGAGCAGTCCAACACAACAACTCCCCAAGCGCAGCCCAGGAACCTCGCTTCCCAGGCCCTGAGAAGAAGCCCTCACTTACCACTCTCATATTTGCAGTTGGTCAGGTTGATGCAGAGCCTAAGGGGAGGAAGAGGTGACCAAGCACAGGAGCCTCAGGCTGGATCTACACTGCCCTATATCCCAGGATTGGATCCCAGATTATCTGCTTTGAACTGGATTATATGAATCTACACTGCCAGATAATCTGGGATAAGCAGAAAATCTAGGATCAGCTCCAGTGTGGAAGAGGCCACATAGAGGCCCCTGGGCAGAGCCGATCCTGCAAGTGAAGCAGAGGCAATAGGAAGGAAGGGAAAGGTCCCGCACCCAAACAACATCATGGAAGATCGCCCACCTGTGCTTCCTCCGCCTCTTCCGCCTTGTCTCTTCGAGGTCACATTCTTCTGCCAATTGCTCCTCCAGATCGATCAGGGAGAGCCCCGGCTGCGCCCCGTTTTCGCATTTCTGTCCTCGGTTCAGGGACTCCTCCTTGTCCTGAGAGCGATTCTGCTGAGAGGCTTTCTCTTCTGCCTCCAGGCGCTTCAGGCATTCGTTGGCAGACTCATCGGACAGGCCTCCGTCATCTTCCTCCTTCTCATCATCATCTTCATCGGTCTCGTTCTCAGATTCACTGCTTTCATCTGTGTTGATCTTCATTCTTTCAGGAACTTTTTGCAAAGAGGATGAGGAAGAGGGGGTTCAGCACAGGTGTCCGCTACAACGTTTGTTATGCTTTAAAGCACAGGTCCTCAAACTAAGGCCTAAGGGCCAGATACGGCCCTCCAAGGTCACTTACCCGGCCCTCGCTCAGGGTCAACCTAAGTCTGAAATGACTTGAAAGCACACAACAACAACCATCCTATCTCATCAGCCAAAAGCTGGCCCACACTTCCCACTGAAATACTAATAAGTTTATATTTGTTAAAATTGTTCTTCATTTTAATTATTGTATTGTTTTCAAGTGGGTTTTTTTTGCACTACAAATAAGATATGTGCAGTATGCATAGGAATTCATTCATGTTTTTTTCAAATTATAATCCAGCCCTCCAACAGTTTGAGGAATTGTGACATGGTCCTCTGTTTTAAAAAAAATTAAAAATTTTAATTGTTTTATAGTGTAAGTAGAAAACAACAGATGAAATAAATAAATAAATAATAAACAAAATATGCAAAAGATTTACAAAAGAGTGAATATTCAGTGCTCATTAAACATATGAACAATCAGATTTGGTTGTACAATTATTTATACCTTAACATTTCTTAACTCTATCCCCCACCCGTGAACCCCCACCCCTTGACCTCTGAAACACCTCAAAATAGGATCCCACTACTAAACAACAACCACCCAAATATTTTCACTGAATCCCCTTTATTGCAATTTTCAAGTTTATCTTTGTCTGCAAATTCTTCATTATTTCCTCCTCTACTACAATTTGTCAGCTTGGCCATTTGGATATAATCTACTAAATTATATCTCCAACGTATTGTCAAAGGCTTTCATGGTCGAAATCACTGGGTTGTTGTAGGTTTTTTCGGGCTATATGGCCATGGCCTAGAGACATTCTCTCCTGACATTTCACCTGCATCTATGGCAAGCATCCTCAGAGGTAGTGAGGTATCTCTCCAATCTTTAATAGATAACTCTTTTTGCCCTTTCCAAGTTTTGGCTATTATTAGTCTTGCCGCAACAAAGCAATATTGCCCTCTGTTTAAAAAGTTTGAGGACCCCTGCTTTAAAGAGCAATGAAACCCTCGGGACTTATCTCCTTTATCTCTGTGGCCTTTCAGACCATACATTTTCTACAAAATGTTGTGACTTGAAACCACAGCTTTTTCACAAGTGATTCAATCAAAGGAATACAAACTGAGGGCCCTTCAACACATCCCTATATCCCAGAATATCAAGGCAGAAAATCCCACATTATCTGAGTGTGGACCCAGATAACCCAGTTCAAAGTAGATATTGTGGGATTTTCTGCCTTGATATTCTGGAATATAGGGCTGTGGGGAAAGGCCCTGAGTGCCATCTCTGCTCTTCATCCCTTCCATGTGTTTCCATTCAGTGCAATTCCCATATTCCTATCTGCCCCAAAAGAGCTGTGATTCTGAGAGTGCATCTCCATTGCAGAACTAATGCAGTTTAGCACCACTTTCTCTTCTGCTACGCTCAATGCTATGGGATCTCTGGTGAGGCAGCAGCCTTCTTGAGCAGAGGAGACTCCAGACCTCATCAAGCTATAGCTTATTCTTATTCTTATTCTTATTGTTATAATTATCATCATCATTAATAATGCTTTTCTCTCTAAAATAAGACTCAAAGTGACTGTGTATCTATTATTAGAATGCAATGATGATAATAATAATAATAATAATAATACCCCACTTTTCTCTCTATAAGGAAACTCAAAGTGACTGTGTATCTATTATTAGAATTTATTATTATTATTATCATTAATACCCCACTTTTCTCTATACAAGAAGACTCGAAGCAACTGTGTATCTATTAGTAGAATGTATTATTATTAATAATACCCCACTTTTCTCTCTATAAGGAAACTCAAAGTGATTGCGTATCTTGATCAGACATGATTATTTTAAATATATGTGCTATTGTGGTTTTAATGCTTATATTGTCTTGTAAATTTTATGTTTATGCCATTTTTTTCTTGTATGTACTGTTTATGTTACTTGGAAACCGCTCTGAGTCCCCTTGGGGAGATAGAGCGGTATAAAAATAAAGTTTTGTCGTTGTTGTTGTATCTATTATTAGAAAGTATTATTATTATTATTATTACTACCCCACTTTTCTCTATACAAGGAGAATCAAAGTGACTGTGTATCTATTATTCAAATGTATTATTATTGTTGTTGTTGTTGTTGTTTATTTATATCCTTCTCTCGATCCCGCCTGCCTCACAGGCACGTCTGGCGGGGACGAGAGAGAGGGCCTTCTCAGTGGTGGCCCCCCGGCTGTGGAACACCCTCCCTGTTGACATCAGACAGGCGCCCTCTCTTATGGCTTTCCGTAAGAGCCTAAAGACCTGGCTCTTCGAGAGGGCATTTAACTAAGTGCCAGACTAACTGATAATGACAATCGGAACGGAATATGGATTATGAGACTGGTAGGTTCCTATGTTGTGACGGTGCGGATTAGTTAGTATAATTTAGATTAATGTGTATTATGGCTTGTTGATGTAGTGTGTGTTTTTGTAAACTGTTTTTTATATGTTGTACACCGCCGCAAGTCGCCCTAGGGCTGAGAGCGGCGGTCAACAAATGCATTAAATAAATAAATAAATAAATATCCCACTTTTCTCTCCACAAGGAGACTTAAAGCAGCTAAAAGGTAAAGGTTTCCCCTGACATTAAGTCCAGCTGAGTCCGACTCTGGGGGATGGTGCTCATCTCCATTTCTAAGCCAAAGAGCCAACGTTGTCCGTAGACACCTCCAAGGTCATCTGGCCATAGGCATGACTGCATGGAGCGCCATTACCTTCCTGCCGGAGTGGTACCTATTGATCTACTAACATTTACATGTTTTCGAACTGCTAGGTTGGCAGAAACAGGGCCTAACAACAGGAGCTCACCCTGCTCTCCGGATTTGAACCACCGACCTTTTGGTCAGCAAGTCCAGCAACTCAGCGGTTGAACCTGCTGCACCATGTATCTATTATTGGAATGTATTATTATTATTAATAATAATAACCATACAAGATTCCTGAAAGCAGCTATGTATCTATTATTAGAATGTATTATTATTAATAATAATAATAACCATACAAGATTCCTGAAAGCAGCTATGTATCTATTATTAGAATGTATTATTATTAATAATAATAATAACCATACAAGATTCCTGAAAGCAGCTATGTATCTATTATTAGAATGCATTATTATTAATAATAATAATACCTCACTTTTCTCTCCACAAGAAGACCGAAAGCAGCTATGTATCTATTATTAGAATGTATTAATAATAATAATACCTCACTTTTCTCTCCACAAGATTCCTGAAAGCAGCTATGTATCTATTATTAGAATGTATTATTATTATTATTAATAATAATAATAATACCTCACATTTCTATCCACAAGATTCCTGAAAGCAGCTATGTATCTATTAAGTTCTTGTGGGTTTTTTCGGGCTATATGGCCATGTTCTAGAGGCATTTCTCCTGACGTTTCGCCTGCATTTATGGCAAGCATCCTCAGAGGTGATTTCCATCAGACCTCACCTCTGAGGATGCTTGCCATAGATGCAGGCGAAACGTCAGGAGAAATGCCTCTAGAACATGGCCATAAAGCCTGAAAAAACCCACAAGAACCCAGTGATTCCAGCCATGAAAGCCTTCAACAATATGTATCTATTATTAGAATGTATTAATAATAATAATAATAATAATAATAATAATAATACCTCACTTTTCTCTCCACAAGAAGATTGAAAGCAGCTACGTATCTATTATTAGAATGTATTATTATTATGTATTATCCACCAGGAGACTCAAAGCGGCTTACATTAAAAGCAGTTCGATACAATGTAAAGTCTACAAATGTACAAACATTGAAACAGATTAGATATAATTGGTATTTAAAAATGCAGGCCCCTTCTACACTGTCATATAATCCGGATTATCATCTACATCGTCTGTTTTAACTGGATTATATGAATCTACACTGCCATGTAATCCAGGTCAAAGCAGAAAACCTGGATTTTATATGGCAGTGTAGAAGGGGCCTAAGGCTGGGCCTGTAAGCCGGGATCTGATCTGCTTTAGGAGTCTACACTGGCAGACCATCCCAGGATAAACAAGATCCTGGGATTACAGGCCCAGTGTAGAGCCAGGCTGAGAACTGGGCAAAGAGGGCCCGTCTGGCTGGCCCCAAGGGCAAAAGGGAAGGCTTAGTTTGGGGGCGGGCCCCTCACCGGGCCCCAAGGCTGCTTCTTCCCCCGAGCCGGCGGCGGCGGCGGCGATGGCGCCTGGGCCTGGAGGCCTCCTTGGGGCCCGACGCGGTCTCCATGCCGACAGCGCGGCCCCGCCCTCCGGCCGCAGAGGGGGCGTGGTCTAGGGCTAGGGCACCGCCTTCCTCCCGCCTGCCACGTGCAGTTACGCGCGTCATTGGCTGTGACGCGAGCGGGAGGCGGCTCGCCATTGGCTCGCGCGACTTGCCATTCGCCCTTAAGAGGCGGCTGCTTCCGGTCGCGGGGGGGGGGGGGGGGACTCATTCATTCATTCATTGTATTGTCGAAGGCTTTCATGGCTGGAATCACTAGGTTCTTGTGGGTTTTTTTCGGGCTATAGGGCCATGTTCTAGAGGCATTTCTCCTGACGTTTCGCCTGCATCTATGGCAAGCATCCTCAGAGGTAGTGAGGTTTGTTGGAATTAGGACAATGGGTTTATATATCTGTGGAATGGCTGGGGTGGGGCAAAGAGCTCTTCTCTGCTGGAGCTAGGTGTGAATGTTTCAACTGACCACCTTCATTAGCATTTGAAGGCCTGGCTGAGCCTGGGAAAATCTTTTGTTGAGAGGAAACAACCAGGCACATCTTAACACCTCTCAACAAAAGATTCCCCCAGGCTCAGCCAGGCCTTCAAATGCTAATGAAGGTGGTCAGTTGAAACATTCACACCTAGCTCCAGCAGACAAGAGTCCGTTGTCCCACCCTGGTCATTCTACAGATATATTAACCCATTGTCCTAATTCCCACAGACCTCACTCCCTCTGAGGATGCTTGCCATAGATGCAGGCGAAACGTCAGGAGAGAATGCCTCTAGAACATGGCCCTATAGCCCGAAAAAACCTATAAGAACCTAGAGATTCATTCATTGATTGACTGATGTGGGGAATGCACTGTTGACACTCGGCAGGGATCCAGTTGAGAAGTCAAGGCCCTCTTCAAGCCAAAGGAAGGATATTGTTAGAAGAGACCCCAAGGCCATCTAGCCTAACTCCCTTCTGCCATTATGTAGGAAAAGCACAAAGCACCCCTGACAGATGGCCATCCAGCCTCTGCATGATGCTGATAAAAGAGTTGGAAGATATCATTTTTGCCATCTAGCCTAACTCCCTTTTGCCCTCATTCAAGAAAAGCACAATCAAAGCCCACCCAACAGATGGCCATCCAGCCTCTGCATCATGATGATGATGATCTGTCCAAACATATCTCCCTCTACGTCCCATCCCGGAATCTGAGATCATCTGGGGAGGCCCTGCTCTCAACCCTACCGCTATCACAAGTGAGGCTGGTGGGGACGAGGAGCAGGGCCTTCTCAGTGGTGGCCCCTCACCTGTGGAACTCACTCCCGGGGGAAATCAGGGCATCAACATCCCTCCTTGCCTTCAGGAGGAAGGTAAAGACGTGGTTGTGGGACCAGGCCTTTGGGCACCCTGACAATTAGATATGGAAACCAGATGGATAGGACCGACAATTTGTGGAAATTGGAACTTAAACTATGAGTCTGCGAAACACTGACCATCAATGAGGTTGTATTGATTTTATTGCTTTTATTGCTTTTATTGGTTTTATGGTTGTTTTTGCCGTTTATAATCACTGTTTCTTGTTAATTGTTACTGCTAAAACTGCTGTTTGTTAATTGTTTTTATTGTCCTTTGCTGTTATGTAATGCGGGCATTGAATTGTGCCTTGCTTTTGTAAGCCGCCCTGAGTCCCCCCCAGGGTGAGAAGGGCGGGGTAGAAGCAACCGAAATAAATAAATAAATAAATAAATCCCTCAAATGGTTTAGTTTAGAGCAGTGGTTCTCAACCTGTGGGTCCCCAGGTGTTTTGGCCTACAACTCCCCAAAATCCCAGCCCAGTTTACCAGCTGTTAGGATTTCTGGGAGTTGAAGGCCAAAACATCTGGAGACCCACAGTTTGAGACCCACTGCTCTAAGGCATCTCCCCACATTGTTCAAAAAGACCTCAGGATGGACAGTTGAAGTACCAGAAACATCCAGACATACAACTGTCCATTTTAATGCTATTCCTCGGTGATTTTAATGTTTGTATATATTTATGGTTTTATGTCCCGGCACTGAATGTGTGCCATATATATGTTGTGCTCCGCCCTGAGTCCCCTGCAGGGTGAGATGGGTGGAATATACATGTTTTAAATAAATAAATAAATAATAAAAATTAACTTGGAAAAGGCCTCAAAGGCCATCTAGTCCACCCCCCTGCTGCCTTCATGCAGGAAAAGCACAATCAAAGCACCCCCAACAGATAGCCATCTAGCCTCTGCATGATGATGATGATGATAATAATAATAATAATAATAATAATAATAATAATGAGTTGGAAGAGACCCCATGGGCCATCTAGTCTAACCGCTTTCTGTTTTCATGCAGGAAAAGCACAATCAAAGCACCTCCGACAGCTAGCTATCCAACCTCTGTATGATGATGATGATGATGATGATAATGATAAGAGTTGGAAGAGACCCCATGGGCTATCTAGTCCAACCCCTTTCTGTCTTCATGCAGGAAAAGTACAATCAAAGCACCCCTGACAGATAGCCACCCAGCCTCAATAACATTAATGATGATGATGATAGAGTTGGAAGATACCTCATGGGCCATCTAGTCCAACCCCCTTCTGTCTTCAGGCAGGAAAAGCATCCTGATAGACGGCCATCCAGACTCAATAATATTAATGATGATGATAGTAATACAGTTGGCAGAGACCACATTGGCTGTCCAGCAATCCCTTTATTTCTGCCAAGAAAGGTAAGTGCAATGGAAGCCCCCCCAACAGATGGCCATCCAGCCTCAATAATAATAATGATGATGATGATGATATAGTTGGAAGAGAACACATGGGCCATCTAGTCCAACCCCCTTCTGCCAGGCAAGAAAAGCACAATCAAAGCTCCCCCAACAGATGGCCATCTGTCGAGAAGTCAAACTGGTAGCCATATCATTTCACTTGCCTTGTGCTATAAAGTTCTCAAATAACAATATAAAATTTATCATTTCATTAGTAATAACAAATTCTGTCTTCACATGCCATCATTTAGAGGGTCTCATTCAGTCTCTTGCTTGGTGGAGGCTGCTGAGTGTCAAATATATTTCCTTGCTTCAACTTAATGTCTTCCACAAATTGTATTGGTTACTTCTGCAACCCTGATGCATAAATGCTATTTAGTGGGTCCTATTTCCCCCACAATGTAGACTGAGCAAAAGATCATGACTCTTTCGGTGGGTCCCTTTTTCCCCCCCCCTGTTGACATAACCCGGCCTTGTTTTCTCCTCCCCTTTTTTTGTCTTTTTCTTTTTGCATTTTCCCCCCCCCCCAACTCTCCCCCCCTTGTCTTCCCTCGATTTGTTTGCCCTTTCCGGAGAGACCTGCTTCTAGGCCCCCGCTTGCTCCTCCGACCCCCCCCTCCCCGCGCCCGCGCCCTTGCTCCCGACCCTGCACGGCCTTCGCTCCCTCCCCTGCCTCCTGTCTTTTTCCCGCCACCTGGCCTCCTCCTTCTCCTCCTTTCCCCCCCTTTCCTTCCGGGTCTACAAACCTTTTAAACAGAGGGCCAGGTCACAGTCCCTCAAACTGTTGGAGGGCCGGATTATAATTTGAAAAAAAAAAGAATTAATTCCTATGCACACTTCACATATCTTATTTGTAGTGCAAAAAACATTTAAAAACAATATAATAATTAAAATTAAGAACAAATTTAACAAATATAAACTTATTAGTATTTCAATGGGAAGAGTGGGCCTGCTTTTGGCTGATGAGATAGGATTGTTGTTGTTGTTGTTGTGTGCTTTCAAGTCATTTCAGACTTAGGTTGACCCTGAGCGAGGGCCGGGTAAATGACCTTGGAGGGCTGTATCCGGCCCCCGGGCCTTAGTTTGAGGACCCCTGACCTTTGCCTTCTCAGAATATCTCTTAATTGTTTTGTTAAAACATGTATATGGGTCACGAGCTCCCGTTGCCGCTAGGCAAACTCAGTGTCAGAGTGGTAACACCCCTAAATCATTCGAAGGGCTGAGGCTTTGGTCAGGGCCTCAAAATCTCTGGCAGTTTTGAGTTCATGGCCTTGCGTTCATGTCCAAGTGGGAAGAGAGGAGCAAGAAGCATCCATGGCACAGAGGCCTGCTAACCTACAAGGCACTTGGGTCCTGCAGTTGTCACCTAAAGAGGGCCACCAGCTCCCGCTGCAGCTGGGCAAACTCATCATCCGAGAGGAGACACTCTCGAATTGTCCGGAGAGCTGAGGCCTCAGTCAGAGCCTCGAAGTCTTGGGCGGTCTTGATGGGCAGGTGTCCTGCCAACTCACAGAGCGCCACGTTGAAGGAAGAGGACTCCTTGGCCCCGAAGCAGGCCCTTCGAGGCCAGACAATTATTCGGAGCCCCGGTCGTGATGCAGTGGACAAGGGTCCCTCATTGGGGGCCGCTCCCCGGGTGACAAAGAGATTGTGGGCCACCCCTTTCTCCAACAGGAAGCTGGTCAGCTTTGCGACTTTTCCGGCCATCTCTTCCAGCTGCCTCTCTTGGCAGTAGAAGAAGAGGAAGCCGGGTGCTGGGGCCCTTTCCTGCAGCAAGTAGAGTCCTGCTCTGGGCAAGAGGGCTTGGCAAGGGGCGGTTTCCACTGGCAGCTCCCTGTCCAGGTAATAGCCATGCAAGTGGAGGTGGTTGACAGAGGCGTAGGCCCCCAGGCTGTTGAAGCCCACACGGAAGCCCGGCTGGGCGCTGAGTAGGACGGCCTCCAGGCCACAGTGGAGGGCTTCCGGGGTCAGCACCTGCGGCAGTTCACGGCCCGGATCCGGCACCAGGAGTACATGGCCATTCTCCAAAGGACTGATGTTGATGACCACCAGCACCTCCTCAGCAGAGCCTTCCCGTCTCAAGGCAAAGAGCACCTCCTCTGGCCGGATTTGGGCAAAGTTGAACCGCAGCGGGTCGAAGGCCTGTTTGAGGCTGTGGATTTCCTGGGGGGCCCTTCGCTGCTCCCCGCGCTCCACGTTCAGCTGTGCTACAAGACCCATTGTGCCTGGCAGGATCCGGGTGGGCAAAGCGTCCAAGTGGTAGCGGAAGAGGCCCTTCTCCATGCGGTCCCTCCAGCCCTGCAGCAGGGCATGATCAAAGCGGGACAGGCCCCTGGATGGCCACTCTACCCCGTTGAGCAGCAGGTCCTGCTTCCCATAGCAGAAGGCCTCCACAGAGGGGGTCCCATTCAGATCAGGGCCATTGGAGGCCATGCTGGACACAGAGAGATGGAGGGAGAACCTTTTTTGGAGCCCCAAAGATTATCTGTAGAAAATTATTATTATTATTATTATTATTGTTGTTGTTGTTGCTGTTGTTTATTTATACCCCGCTTTTCTCTCCACAAGGAGACTCAAAGTGGCTATATGTCTATTATTAGTATTAGAATGTATAATTATGATTATGGTGTTTATTTATAACCCTCCTTTCTCTCCACAAGCAGACTCAAAATGACTATGTATGTATTATTTGTATTAGAATATATTATTATTAATGTTGGTTTTGTTTATTTATATCTGGCTTCTCTCCACAAGGAGACTCAAAATGGCTATGCATGTATTATTTATATTAGAATGTATTATTATTAATGTTGTTTTTGTTTATTTATACCTGACTTTCTCTCTCCACAAGAAGACTCAAAGAGGCTGTGTATCTATTACTAGTATTAGAATGTATTATTGTTGTTGATGATGTTGTTGTTCATTTATTCCCTGCTTTTTCTCTTCACAAGGAGACTCAAAGCGGCTATGTATCTATTATTAGTATTATAATTTATTATTATTATTATTATTATTATTATTATTGTTGTTGTTGTTGTTGTTGTTTATATATACCTAGCTTTTTCTCTCCACAATGAGACTTAAAGCAGTGATGTATCTATTACTAGTATTAGAATGTATTATTGTTGTTGTTGATGTTGTTCATTTATTCCCAGCTTTTTCTCTTCACAAGGAGACTCAAAACAAGCTATGTATCTATTATTAGTATTAGAATGTATTATTATTATTATTATTTATATATACCTAGCTTTTTCTCTCCACAATGAGATTTAAAGCAGTGATGTATCTATTACTAGTATTAGAATGTATTATCAATATTATTATGTTTATGTATTCCATGCTTTTTTCTCTCCACAAAGGAGACTCAAAGCGGTTATGTATCTATTATTAGTATTAGAATGTGTGTGTGTGTGTGTATATATATAGCTTTTTCTCTCCACAATGAGACTTAAAGCAGTGATGTATCTATTACTAGTATTTGAATGAATTATCAATATGATTATGTTTATGTATACCACACTTTTTTCTCTCCACAAAGGAGACTCAAAGTAGTTATGTATCTATTAGTAGTAGGATGTATTATTATCATGATTGTTTATTTATACCCCGTTTTTCTCTCCGCAAGGAGACTCAGAAGCAGCTTATATTAAAAGCAATTTGATATAATATCTAAAATGTCAAAATTCCTACCAGAAAGCAATGGTGCAAACTATTGCCTATCATCCACTCAATCTGGAGTGAAGTTTGGTACTCACTATAAGCATTATATTCATTATAACTATGATAATTACACTATGAAGATGCCAATAGCAGGCATGGGCCAACTTGGGCCTTCCAGGTGTTTTGGACTTCAACTCCCAGAATTCCTAACAGCCTCAGGCCCTTTCCTTTTCCCCCTCAGCCGCTTAAGCGGCTGAGGGGGAAAAAGAAGGGGCCTGAGGCTGTTAGGAATTCTGGGAGTTGAAGTCCAAAACACCTGGAAGGCCCAGCTTTGCCCAGGCCTGGCATAGATCTATAGAACTCACACAAGCGGATGCTTCCTTCCGGCTCTTCCACACCTGCCCCTCGTTCTGGGCGCGTCCCCTTTAAGGGGCGGGCCCCCGTTGCCATGGGAGCGTTGCCTGGTGACGTATGAGAAGGGGCGGACCCGGAAGTGCTCGCACTTGTTCCCCTGTTGTCTTAGCACCGCCATGGGGGGCTCCGGAAGCCGCCGCCTCCCGCGGGACCTTTTGAGCGAGTACCAGGCAAGGAAGTGAAAGTGGACCGCGTGGGGTGGGGGCTTCTCTCTCCTTCCTCTTCCGGACTAACTAACCTCTTCCTCCTCTCTTTCGCAGGAACTGACCTTCCTGACCGCGCAGGAGATCCTGCTGTGAGTAGTGGCGCCCCGAGAAGGAAGAGGGTTCTGGCTCCTTCCTTCCCTTCCCTCCTCCTTTCCTTCCTTATCTTTCCTTCCTGCCTGCCTGCCTTCCTTCCCCCTCCTTCCTCCTCCTTCTTTCCTTCCTCCCCTTCTTGCCTCCTTCCTTCTTCCTTTCCTCCTTCCTTCTTTCCTCCCTTCCCTTCCTTCTCTTCCTTCCTTCCTTCCTCCTTACTTACTTACTTACTTACTTTCTTTCTCTTCTTTCTTTCCTCCCTCCTCCTCTTCCCTCCTTCTTTCCTTCCTCCCTTCTTCACTTCCTTCCTCTTCCCTCTTCCTTCTTTCCTTCCTTCCTCCCTTATCTTTCCTTTCTTTTTCTTCTTTCCTTTCCTTCCTTCCTTCCTTTCCTTCTTCTTCCTTCTTCCTCTCCTTCCTTACTTCTTCTTCTTTTCTTCCCTCCTTCCTTCCTTCCTTCCTCCTTCCTTTCTTTCTTTCCTTTCCTCCTTCCTTTCCTTCATTCATTCTTTCTTTCCTTCCTTTCTTCCTTCTTCCTCTTCCTCCTCCCTCTTCTTTCCTTCCTCCCTTTGCACTCCTTCCCTCCTGGTTTCCTCCCTCTCTCCTCCCTCCCTTCCTCCTTATTTCTTTTTCCCCTTCTTGCACTCCTTCCTTCCCTCCTTCCTTATCTTTCTTTCCTGCTATCTTTCCCTCCCTCCTTCTTTTCTGCCTTCCCATCTCTTTTTCATCCTATTCTTTCACAATAATATTATTAAATATTATTATTATTATTATTATTATTATTATTATTATTAGCTGCTCTGAGTCCCCTTCAGGGTGAGGGGGGTTATAAATATAGAAAATAGACTAATAATAATACTTATGTATTTACCCACAATGGCACCGCTGAGCTGCTGAACCTGCTGATTGAAAGGTCGGTGGTTTGAATTCGGAGAGTGGGGTGAGCTCCTGCTGTTAGCCCAGCTCCTGCCAACCTAGCAGTCTGGAAACTTCCCTTGAAACTAGGACTAGGAGCCATGGGTTCAAATTACAGGAGAAGAAATCCCACCTGAAGATTAGGAAGAAATTTCTTAACTGTGAGAGCTGTTCAGCAGTGGAACTCTTCCTCAGAGTGTTGTGGAAGCTCCATCCTTGGAAACTTTTAAACAGAAGCTGGATGGCTGTCTGTCAGGGATATTTTGATTGTGCTTTCCTGCATGGCTGTAGGCTGGACTAGGTGGCCCATGTGGTCTTTTCCAACTCTATTATTCTATAAATCACACAAAACAGGTTAAACAAAGGACACACATTTAAAATTCATGCTTAAAGACTGTCTGGGTAGGCCCACTGGAAGAGATAGGTCTTTAGATGATTTTTTTTATTTCTGACAGATCATTTAGCTGTTAAGAGTTCTCCCGGCAGGTTGTTCCACAGTCTTGGGGTGGCCGATGAAAATGTCCTCTGGGTGATCGTTGCCAGTTGGGTTCTGCCTGGTTGGAGTAACTGGCCCCTGGAGGACCTCAGTGTGCAGGGGGGAATGTATGGGAAAAGGCGATCCTGTAGGTAAACCTGGTCCTAAACCATGTAGGGCTTTAAAGGTCAAAACCAACACTTTGTACTTTGCCTGGAAACTAATTGCCAGCCAGTGTTGGACTTTAGGATAAGTGAAATATGATCACTTTTTCCTTCCTAGTTTCATTCTTCCCTTCTATCCCTCTTTCCTCCTTTCTTTACTTCCTTCTTTCACTCATTCCTTCCTCCTTTCATTGCTTCTTTCACTTCTTTCCCATTTTTCTTCCTTCTTTCATTCCTTCCTTCCTTCCTTCCCATCTTTCCTTCCCTCCTCCCTTCCCTCCTTCTCTTCTTCCTCCCTTCCTCCTCCCTTCCCTCCCTTCTTTCTTTCACTCCTTCCTTCCTTTTCAGGGCCCATCGACGCTTCTGCGACTTACTGCCCAAGGAGGATCGGGACCAGGCCTTCGCCACCCGAGCGCCCAAGGGAAAGCTCCTGGCACTGCCCGAACTCAGGGTAAGTGAGCCTAAAGAGGACAATGACAACTCCCAGGGCTCCATAGCATTTGAGCAAGGCCAGTCACATTCACCCTCTAACGCAGAGGCAGCTGGAGCCTTTGCGGAGATCTTCCGGGGAGGGACTGGTTTGGAGCCCATAGGAACTCACCTTGGTGGGGCAACGGGGCCCCTCTCTTCCCCTTCAAACTTAGAGCCAGAGCCCTGTGGTCATCTATATAAATAAAAAATGTAATGTTTGTTTGTGGAATTAACAGAACCCAAAAACCAGTGGGCCAATTGACACCAAATTTGGACAGCATACACCTAAACAACCCACTCAATTTTTTTTGATTTTGTCATTTGGGAGTTGTAGTTGCTGGGATTTATAGTTCACCTACAGTCAAAGAGCATTCTGAACCCCACCAACAATGGAATTGAACCAAACATGGTATAACAGGACTCCCATGACCAACAGAAAATACTAGAAGGGTTTGGTGAGCATTGACCTTGAGTTTTGGAGTTGTAGTTCACCTACATCCAGAGATCACTGTGGACTCAAACAATGATGGATCTGGACCAAACTCTACATGAATACTCAATATGCCCAAATGTGAACACTGGTAGAGTTTGGGGAAAATAGAATCTTGACATTTGGGAATTGTAGTTGCTGGGATTTGTAGTTCACCTACAATCACAGAGCATTCAGAACCCCACCAACGATAGAATTGAGCCAAACCTCCCACACAGAACCCCCATGTGGGCCACAGCAACATGTGGCAGGGGACGGCTAGTAGAATCATAAAATCATAGAGTTGGAAAGGAATCATAGAGTTGTTCAGGTGGAATCTCCTTCCCTGTCATTTGAACCCATTGTTCCATTGACTCCTAGTTTCCAGGGCAGCAGAAAAGAAGCCTACTCCCTCTTCCTTAGGACATCCTTTCAAATGTAAACATGGTTCTCATATCTCCTCTCAACTTCTCTTCTGAGGCTAAAGAGACCCAACTCTTTAAGATGCTCCTCAGAGGGATTATTCATAGTCTCCAGACATTTGATCCTTTTTATGGCCCTGGAAGTTTCTCAATTTCTTGAGCCAGTAAATCCCTAAACAAAGGACTCAACCAAAACCCATTTGCATGGACAATAAATAAATGGCTGGACCTCGGAGGGCTTTGCCAGGCCATCTGGAATAATAAGGTCTATGGATTTTGGATCACCCAACACAAAGGGCAACTCCAAACATTTGATCCTTTTCGTCCTTCTAGATCCCTTCCAGCTTTGAGTCACTATCCCTCTTGAATTGTGGTGCCCAGAATTGGACATGGGGGTATTATTCCACAATAGAATACTGGTTTCAGGTCTCCCTCTCTGAACAAGAAATCCCAGATGCATAGATCAGAGCTGTGGTCACAGAAGCAGCATATAGTGACCTAGCCATGTGAAGCAAGTGCAGATCCCACAGAAAAAGCTAAAGCAGCCAATACAGAGCAGAGATTGTGGGTTGGCTCTTCCTGGAAGAGCAGGGGGCTCTGGTCTGGCTCTCTGGTCTGGACCTTGCTTCTGGCAGCCCTCTGACCTCACAGATCCTCTTTCCTTCCTTCATTCCTTCCACTGCCCAGGCCAATCCCTTCCGGCACCGCATCGTCCGTGTCTTCTCCACTGCTGAGGATGGTGATGGCAGCCTTTCCTTTGAGGACTTCCTGGACATGTTGAGTGCCTTCAGCGACGCTGCCACCCCGGAGGTCAAGTCCCACTACGCCTTCCGCATCTTTGGTGAGTGTCCAAGACCTGTCCACAGAAACTCTGTTAATGCAACTACCGCTCACTGTCTCGTAGTCAAAGGCAGTCCAAAGTCTTATACAGCAATCAATCCAACAAGGGGCAAAGCACACAAAGAGTCCAGAGTTTTTTCAAGGGTCAAAGCCAAGCAGTCTCACAAACTCAAGCTGTAGGCCAGTCACCAAAGTTCAGGTCCAATCCAAGAATTCACCGACAGAGATTTGGGCTGCAGCAGTTCCACAATGTTGCTCCCAGAAACTATCAAGTCCAGGCTCCAGCTATTTATGCCACTTTCACAAGTGCTCTCAGCTGTTGGCCCTCCTACAATTCTGTAGCTGTGTTTGGTATATGTTTTCATATATATACAGTGTGCAGCAGCACTTCCTTTTTTAAAATGCGCACCATTCAGTCGGTTGCAGACATAGCGGAGCGCTTGTGGTCTCGTTCAAGAGGCAGGAGTATAAAGTTTTGTCCCAACACAGTTCAGTTGCCATCATGCGTTGGATCAGTGAGGAGTGTGCTTTTGCCGTTGAGGCCTACTTTTTGAGCGGATTTGGAGTGGCCAGCCCGCTCTCCAGATTTGGCCCCTTGTGATTTTTTTCTATGGGGATTTTTGAAATCCCGTGTTTATGTGAACCATCCAAGGACCCTACAAGATTTGAAGACTAACATCCAGGAAGACATTACCAACATAACATCTGCTGTGCTGGCAAGAGTCATGACAAATGCCAGAAATCAGTTTACTCAGTGTATGGAGAATGGAGGACGTCACCTACCTAATTTGATCTTCAAAACTATGTAAAACAAAACTGTAGGTATGCACCTACATTATAATTTTTTTCTGATTCATACAATGGGTTTTATTAAGTTTTGAAAAAAGGAAGTTATGCTGCTGCACCCTGTATATATGTGTGTGTGTGTGTGCGTGTTTATTTATCTATGCAATTTAGTAGAGCCCCCTAGTGGCACGGCAGGTTAAACCGCTGAGATGCTGAACTTGCTGACCGAAATGTCGGCAGTTAGAATCTGGGGAGTGGGGTGAGCTCCTGCTGTTAGCCCCAGCTTCTGCCTTCTAGCACTCCTTACCTTTCTTTCCTGACATCTTTCCCTCTCTCCTTCGTTCTTGCCTCCCCATCTCTTTTTCTTCCTGTCTTTCCTTCCTTCTTTAATAATAATATCATTAAATATTATATAATAAATTATTATTATTATTATTATTATTATTTATTAGCTGCTCTGAGCCCCCTTCAGGGTGAGCGAGGTTATAAATATAGAAAATTGATCAATAATAATAATTAAAAGCATGCAAATGTGAGCAGATCAATAGGTATCGCTCTGGTGGGAAGGTAACGGCGCTCCATGCAGTCATGCCGGCCACATGAGCTTGGAGGTATCTATGGACAACGCTGCCTCTTCGGTTTAGAAATTGAGATGAGCACCACCCCCAAAGTTGGACATAGCTAGGCTTAATTTAAGGGGAAACTTTTACCTTTACCTTTATGCAATTTGGTACTTTATTTTTATTTTTATGTTCATTTGTTTTTGAATTTGTTGTACCTCGCCTTGAGCCATCAGGAGAGGTGGGTAATAAATAAAGTGTTTCATTATTTTTATTTTTCCTTAGATTTCGATGATGACGGGACTCTGGACAAGAAAGACTTGGAGCAGCTGGTCAACTGCCTGACTGGGGAGGGAGAGGACAGCCGGCTAAGCCCGGTGGAAATGGAGCAGCTCATCCAGAATGTAAGTGAGGTGGAAAGGAAGGCCCTGGGCTGCCCTCCCTCCATCCTGGGGGCCCTCGACCCTTCTGAGGCTCTGTTGCATCCACAGATCTTAGAGGAATCCGACATCGACAAAGATGGGACCATTAACCTCTCCGAGTTCCAGCACATCATCTCCCGATCCCCAGATTTCACCAGGTGGGCCTCCTTCCCCTTGGGTTGCATGGGGCAGTGGGTTGCTCTCAGTGGGGTCCCTAAAGAGTCCTGTCCAGTAACAGCCCCCTCTAACTTCTTATTACAACACCTTCCAAATTACACTATGCAACATAATTTTTGTCCCTTGATTATACATGTAATTTCCTAATTGGTTTTGTCATAAAAACATGGGAAATGTGTATTAAACTGCAAAAAACCGCAGTTTTTGCAAGACATCTTGCAGCACATATTGCTCAGGTTTTTCAGGGACTATCTCAACATTCTAACTATTTTGCAGAAGCCACAAAAACGAAGTTTCTGCAGTATAACAACTATTTGCAAAGTCAGTACTACACAATTAAACAGAAATCACTTTCAAACCAGGAACACACTTTTTCCAAATTTTGTGCACTCCATGCACCAAAGGATTCTATTGTTATTATTTGTTAAATGTACACAATGCCACAATGCTGGTGGTGCAGTGGGTTAAACCGCTGAGCTGCTGAACTTGCTGACCAAAAGGTCAGCGGTTCAAATCTGGGGAGTGAGGTGAGCCCCCGGTGTTAGACTCAGCTTCTGTCAACCTAGCAGTTCGAAAACATGTAAATGTGAGTAGATCAATAGGTACCACTCCAGCAGGAAGGTAATGGCACTCCATGCACCAAAGGATTCTATTGTTATTATTTGTTACATGTACACAACGCTGGCAGCGCAATGGGTTAAACCACTGAGCTGCTGAACTTGCTGACCGAAAGGTAGGCGGTTCGAATCCTGGGAGTGGGGTGAGCTCCTGCTGTTAGCCCCAGCTTCTGCCAACCTAGCAGTTCGAAAACTGGCAAATGTTAGTAGATCAATAGGTGCCAATTCGGCAGGAATGTAACAACACTCCAAGCAGTCATGCTGGCCTCATAATCTTGGAAGTCTCTATGGACAACGCCAGCTCTTTGGCTTCGAAATGGAGATGAGCACCACTCCTCAGAGTCGGAAATGACTAGACTTAATGTCAGGGGAAACCTTTACCTAATAATAATAATTTTTTTTTGTCGTATCAGGAGAGACTTGAGAAACTGCAAGTCATTTCTGGTGTGAGAGAATTGGCTGTCTGCAAGGACTTTGCCTGGGGAACACCAGGATGTGTTTGATGTTTTATGGTCCTTGTGGGAGGCTTCTCTCATGTCTCCGCATGAGGAGCTGGAGCTGACAGAAGGAGCTCATCCACGCTTTCCCCGGATTCAAACCTGTGACCTGTCGGTCTTCAGTCCTGCCGGCACAGGGGTTTAACCCACTGCTCCACTGCGGGCTCAATAATAATAATTATTACTATTATTGTTATTAATAATAATAATAGTAATAATAGTAATAATTCAGGAGACCTTTACCTTTAGTGTTATTCTCAGGATCTTAAGAGTCAGAAAGGGACACAAGGAATATCTAGTCCAGCGTAATTTTCATACTTGAAAGAGAAGCTCCTCCACCTTTGGCTTAAATGCCTCTAAAATAGGGGTGTCTACCACTCCTTGGGCAGACTGTTCCACAGTTGGAACAGTTCTGACAATCAAGTTGAGGTGGGACCTCCTTTTTGGTCATCTGACTTCACTCTCCTTTTCTCTTCTCCCTCAGTTCCTTCAAAATTGTGCTCTGATTCTTCACCATTTCGCCTCGGAAGGTGCCCTGGGCTCCTGCAGGAAGACCGGCTTTTGTTTTTCTAGCCAACGTGGATGACRGGTATCGAGTCAAGGGACACAAAGCGATGACTTCTWTGCTCTGGACAGTGAGGTCTTCTGACACTATGGCCTTTCATGATCAAAGCTGATCAATTGCTGCCTCTCTGGGAYCCACCATCTGTGCCTATAGGCTGGCATTGCAGTTCTGTGCCTTGGCAGCGAATTCTTGGTGGATCTGGGTCATTGCTGGGTTTTTCCATATCTCTCCTTCCTTGCCTCAGTAGAGCAAGCATGGGCAAACTTGYGCACTGCAGGTGTTTTGGACTTCAACTCCCAGAATTCCTAACAGCTTCAGGCCCTTTCCTTTCCCCCGCTTAAGCGGCTGAGGGGGAAAAGGAAGGGGCCTGAAGCTGTTAGGAATTCTGGGAGTTGAAGTCCAAAACACCTGCAGTGCCCAAGTTTGCCAATGCCTGCTCTAGAATCTTGGGCTACTTTTGTAGGTGAGTGTGGCATCTGAATTACTGCCTCTTCCTCTTAAAGCCTTACTGACGTAACTTGTTATTTTGCACAGTCTCTCCATGGCCTCGCCTACATTTTCTACACCTGTCCTAATAAAAGTGTGGAAGTTGGACATTGTCCCCTGCAGTGTTTGTTTCTCTCTGCGGAGGTGATGCCGCGCAGTCTGGCTCAGAACAAATAGGGCAGCACTTCCTCTTCCAAGGGGTGCCAGCCTTTGCCAATGTACCTGAGCCAGGTGGGTGGCCCATCCCACTTTGTCCTCCTGGTGAAGAGACTGAGGTTCTAAAAGTGAATTTTGTAAGGAGTTAGTTTTGGAAATGGGTTAAAGCGAGGGGAGGAAGGAGTGAAAAGAGCAAAGAGCGATGCCAGGTAAAGTGTGCGAAAGGTGATGAAAGACCTGGAAGAGAGGGAAGCACAGGATAATTGTTTTCGAAAACAGGATTGTTTTGGAACAGAGAGGTGCCAAATTGAAGGGTGGAGCTGGGAGGGAGAAGTGAAGAAAAGGGGGAAAGGTTTGGTTGGCGCTTGTGCGTGCATGTTTACTCTACTCTGGTCAACCCCCCTTGTTCGATTCTGCAGACTAAACTATTGCACAGCTTTGCAATAATTTTAAATTTCCTTGTTTTTAGTGTCTGGTTAAAAATAGATACTAGAGATTGCTGTGAGTTTTCCAGGCTGTATGGCCATGTTCCAGAAGCATTCTCTCCTGACATTTTGCCCACATTTATGGCAGGCATCCTCAGAAGTTGTGGGATCTGTTTGAAACTAGGCAAGTTGTTGTAGGTTTTTTCGGGCTGTATGGTTGTGTTCTAGAGGCATTCTCTCCTGATGTTTTGCCTGCATGTTTGGCAATCATCTTCAGAGGTAGTGAGGTACCTCACTTATTGCAGGTGTTACGTTCCTGGACCTGCTGCAATAAGTGAAATTCCGCAATGTAGGGACGCCCCCTCACCTTCCTTCCTCACCCTCTTCCTCGTCACCGCATGGGGCGACTATGTGCTATGCTAATAATATAATATAATGTAATGTAATATATAATATATTGTATATACATATAATATTTATAATATTATAATGTAATGCAATATAATACTAATAATAATAATATATTATAATTATATATTTATATTACATGTAATATTACTAATAATATTACAGTATAATTGATATAGTACAATATAGCAATATTTAAAACTGATATTGTACTATGCTATCAGTTTCAGCTCCTTATGCGGGGACATGAAAGTAGCCTCCCACAAGGATGATAAAAACATCAAATCATCTGGGCGTCCCCTGGGCAATGTCCTTGCATTCGGCCAATTCTCTCACACCAGAAGTGACTTGCAGTTTCTCAAGTCGCTCCTGACACGGAGTCCCCTTCGGGGTGAGAAGGGCAGCATATAAATGTCGCAAATAAATAATATAATTTAATATATTGTATATACATATAATATTATAATGTAATACAATATAATACTAGTAATAATATGATATTTTGATTATATATTTTATATTACATGTAATATTACTAATAATATTACAATATAATGGTATGATACAATATAGTAATATAGAATACTGATGCTGTGCTATGTTAGTAATATGATATATAGCTGGTCTGAGCCACCTTTGGGGTGAGAAGGGCGGCATATAAATGTCATAAATAAATAAATAAAATGGAGCCCAAGCGGCAACAAGAGGTCCCAGCAGCAAAGAGGAGGAGGAAAAGAGGAAGGTAAGGAGGGTGAAATTCTTTTCTTAAAAAACACAAGACAGGGAGTCCGTGATAGACCACGAAAGAGTGAGGGACCACTGTAACTCTTGTCTGTTTGAGGCAAGAGTGGATGTTGTAAATGACCACCTTGATTATTATTTATTATCTGCTTACTTCATTTATACCCCGCCTTTCTTGACCCAGGAGGGGACTCAAGGTGGCTTACAAATCTGGTAAAAATTCAATGCCACACAGGTAAACAATAAGACACATTTCATAAAATATAAACACTCTAAGCATATAAGCTATGAAAACACACAACAATCTATCAAACAGATTAAAACCATATATAAAATGCTGAGTCATGATCTCATTAGCAATTTTAATGGCCTTGCAGCTTCAATGCCTGGCTGGTTGCTGCCTCAGAGACCCCACAAATATGTGGACAATTTCAACAGAAAGGAGGAAACCATGAAAATGAACAAAATCTGGCTACCAGTATTTAAAAAAACCTCTAAAATCAGGACGGTAAATAAAGAGCAGCACCCAAAAAGCAGAGGAATTCTAGACAAGACTCAATGAGGGCCAGCTAACATCTCCCAACAAAGGATCCCCCAGTCAGCGACCAGCTAGTCATTGAAGCTGCAAGGACATTCAATGCTAATCAAGGTGGCCATTTGCAACATTCACACCTGCCTCAAGCAGACAAGAGTTCTTTTTCCCATCCTGGACATTCCACAAATATATAAACTTCTCTTGCCTAGTTTCCAACAGACCTCTCAACCTCTGAGGATGCCTGCCATAGATGTGGGTGCAACATCAGGAGAGAATGCTTCTTGAACATGGTCATACAGCCTGGAAAACTCTCAGCAACACAGTGATTCCAGCCATGAAAGCCTTCAACAACACATAGATATTAGAGATTTTCTGACACTTAGCCTCAGCACTGGAGACAGAGAGACCATTGCAGGGAAGGACTGATGGAGGCTGCAAAGTAAGCAACCCTGCATCTCTTCCAATTTCAGCCTGAGTCCAGATTCAGCAGCAGGAATCCAAAGGAGACGGGTCAACTTTTATGTAAAAATCCACACAAATAAACACAGACACCACTTGTGGAGGTGCACCAAAGGGAGGGGGATATGGTTGTGATGGCACTCCATACTGATGAAGTATTTTGCGGTGGGGGTCACAGTGGTCTTGCCTTAGAAAGGTTTCCTCCATCTCCTGGCCCCGCTTTCCCACTCCTGTACAGACAGTACGAAGACAAGGACACCCAAATGTCTGACTGCTGCCCCATCAGAGCCCAACAGGAGCTGATCCCGCTCTCCTTGCCTTTTGGAGTCCAGTTCCTTGAACGGGCCAAGAAAGGGGTGCTGGTCCCACAGGTGCAGCTTCCGAGACCTCTAATCTCCCCTTTGAACTGCAAGTCAGTCAGGTTGGCCTGCAAAAAGTCAGCCAAATTGTGCGTTTCATTCCACAGTGCTGCCTTCTCAGGTGGGCACAGTGGCAACAGCTGGAAGTCTTGCCTTCTGTTGAAAGCTCTGTGGTGCCCTGTTACACCAATGCCTTTACCTTCACAACCCAGAGCCTCCAAAGACATATAGGGTCTCCCAGCACCACTGGGGCTCCACTGCCCATTCTGAGGCAGTTCTGGAGGAGGAGTCCCCAGAGCTGGTTCTGCAGAAGGCTCAGCACAGGAAGGTCTCTCTGTTTAGTCATTTGACACAATACCCACAAAGCATGCCAACAAGCCCGCTATTCAGCCTCATACCACAGAGTCCCGGATCTCTGATCCCAGGCGCACGCGGGGCCGCTGGGAAGGCGGCGACACTTCCACAACGCTCGCATGCATGCTTAGCGGGCGCTGGCTGGACTCAAGGAAGGCCATGGTCGGGGGACCGGGAACAGCATGAGCCGGGCTGCTGGCCGCATGGCTATTGTCGAGCGCCTGATAGCCCTTGTGGTCCGGCAGCAGGGCGCTGGGGGCGGTGGCACCGTTGAGAGGCAGGCTCTCGGGGGGCGCCTTGGCCTTGGGATGCGTGCGGGAGCAGGTGCCCTGCTTCAGAAAGGCCTTCATGGCACCGTGGTGCCGGCGCAGTGCAAAGAGCGCAAGCAGCGTCACGACGAGGCTGAAGAGGGCGCACATGACCAGGAACTCGGTCCAGTAGGTCTTGTCGTCCAAGAGCCCTGCTGCCTCTGCTGAGGTGCTCCTCGATGTGCTGACGGTGTCTGGCGGGCTGCGGAAGACCCACGGCTGCCCCGCCTCCACACAGTAGCTGGCCGTCCGCTGCTGGAAGCCCCCTTCGAAGGACCAGCACTCGTAGCGGCCAGCTTGCTCTGGGCCACCTGCCAGCACAAGTCCTCCATCCTGCAGCATCAGCCAGGAGGTATTGAGGGGCAACCCGTCCCGTTCCCAGCGCCGGGTGGCCAGGTTGGAGAGTGGCGGGCAGTGCAATGGCGTCACGGCGTTGGGGCGAAGGAGCACCCGCTGGCACTGGGGCTCTGCGAGGAAAGGCAATAGGGAAGAGCAGGGATCAGGCCACAGGGAAGGACAAGGAAACCCCCAAGACCACCACCTCCTCTTGGGGCTGTGAGCCAACACTAGGACCCCCAGACACACAAAGGCCAACTAGGTGGCTATGCAGTTAGTGTTGGAATTCAACTCTGCTATGCGTAAGAAAGCAGCACTCCGGATGGGACATTTAGAGAGAAGTAGATAAGGTTTAGAAAGTTTGGTAGGAAAACCCATCCCTTGACTCAGCCTCTACCTCAGGCATGAGCCAAGTTCAGCCCCCCCTCCAGGTGTTTTAGACTTTAACTCTCACAATTCCTTACAACCTACTGGCTGTTAGTTGAAGTTTAAAACACCTGGAGGGAGGGCCGAAGTTGGCCCATGCCTCCCCCCCTCTCTCTCTCACTAAATATTAAATTGCTTTTGACGTAAGCCACTTTGAATCTCCTTGTGTAGAGAAAAGTGAGGTATAAACATAATAATAATAATAATAATAATAATAATAATATCTGCACGCATTATTCACTGATACATCACACAGTCCTAGACACTTGGGAAGTGTCTGATGTGTGATCCAATACAACAGTGTCTGCTGTGGACTCACCTTGTTGTGTTTCAAACAACAATAACAATAATAATAATTCAGACTGACAAGAGTTTTGGAGCACAACAAGCAGAGGTACAACACCGTTGCTCAGATGATCCACTGGAATTTGTACCACAAATACCACCTGCCTGTGACAAAGAACTGGTGGGATCACAAGCCTGAAAAAGTTATGGAAAATGAACACGTCAAACTACTCTGGGACTTCCGAATTGAGACTGGCAGAGTTTTGGAGCACAACACTCCTGACCTCACGATCGTGGAAAAAAAGCAAGTATGGATTGTTGATGTTGCACTCGAGGTGACAGCAGGATTGAAGAGAAACAACTGGAAAAGCTTACAGAATATGAGGATTTAAAGATCCAACTGTAAAGACTCTGGCCCAAGCCAGTCAAGGTGGTCCCAGTGGTGAACAGCACACACTGGGTGCAGTGCCTAAAGACGTTGGCTTGCATTTAAAAACAATCAGTGCTAACAAAAATCACCACCTGTCAGCTGCAAAAGGCCACCCTATTTGGATCTGAATGCATTATTCACCAATACATCACACAGTCCTAGACACTTGGGAAGTGTCTGACGTGTGACCCAGTACAACAGCCAGCAGAGTGATCTTGTTTGCTGTGTACTAATCTTGTTCTGTGTCTAATAATAATGATAATAATGCTAATCTATCAGTCTTGCCCCCACCTATAATGTGTGGACTGATATTCTCAGAGCAACTCCCCACTCAAGTTCCCAGCCCCCTTCTTTCCTGGAACTTTCCATTCCTTTGTCCTCAGAAGACAAAGACTAGCTAAAGGGAGGACCTGAGCCAAGACTAGCTAAAGGGAGGACCTGAGTGATTTCCTTCCCTATACATTATATAGATCTTTTGAATAAAGCTCATGTAACTTTAATGCTGGCCTGTGTGAGATCTCACGCTTCTTCCTAATTCCCTCTCTGCTATACTCTTGTTAACAGTTACAAAACACCATGCTACCTGTTTTGTGGCACACTGCAGCAATACAACCATGTATAATGTTCAAAGAGCGCCACTGCAGCAGAACGGTGTGCTTCCACAATGCAGGACTGAATACAGTCCTTGGCATCAGATACAAATGCCTAGGCCCTTGGGCACCACAGGACCCCGGCCAATGTCTCCTGCATCACTTTACCTGCTGAGTTGCCGAACCTCCCGCTGGTTTCGGGACAGAGACTCACAGCATCCACACTTTCAATATCCTGGACCCAGGAGCTGTTGGGAGAAAGAGGAACCATCAGAGTGGAGCAAAGGGAAGACTCCGTTTTCTTACCCACACTGGTGGGAGAAGCACTTACGCTGCTGAGTGGGGCTCCTGGGAGTCCGGGGCAAAGGGCAGGCAGGCACTTCCGCTCCAGGCGCAGAAGGGGTCCTGGGCCAGGATGCACTCCCCACAGGTACGGTGCATGCTGCAGTTGGCCAGAGGGACCTGCACCAGGGCGGCGTAGGAGGCGGCATAGAGGAAGCCCTGTAGGAAGTGAGGGAAAGGGGAGCATGTGGCCCATCATCCATAGAGGTTGTGGACATCAGGAGACCCCAATCTCCAGAGCCTTGGGATTGAGGCCCACAGCCAAGGAGGCCCCACCAGGAGGAATGGCTGAGCGTGGATGCAAAGGAAGGGTGTGCCCACAATGGTCTTCGGCCTTGCCTGAGTGGCGTCCAGCAGCAGCTCCAGGATGGGCTGCCCAGCGGGGAAGAGCTGGATCTCCTCAATCAGGTGCACTTGGTTCTGTCCTGCGACCACAGCTTTGTGGAGCTGGCCGTCCTCTGAAAAGTAGAAGAAGTGGGCATCTGAGGACGAAGCTCTGTGGGACTCTTCCCACTTGTCTCAACAATGCCACCTGGCTTGCCCCCTGGAAATAAAACTGCCCACTCTTTGCTTGCCAGGACCAGGACCAGAACCAAATCAAGAATTAGAACCAAAACCAAGCCATGATCCAGACCAGGACCAGAACCTGGGCCAGAACCATGATCATGACCGGAGCCTGGGCCTGAAACATAACCGGGACTGTGGCTCAGCTAACTGGGTGTCCTCTGCATTAAGATCACTACTGACCGAAAGGTCATGAGTTTGAAGCCAGCCCAGGTCGGAGTGAGCTTCTGACCAAATTTGTGTAGCTTGTTGTCGACCTTTGCAGTCCAAAAGACAGTTGCATCTGTCAAGTAGGAAATATAGGTACCACTTTGTGGAGAGGCTAATTTAACCAATTTACGAGGCCATAAAGATCAGCGAGCATGCAGGGAATGAGGAAGTATTTCATCAATGTCACAGATGGACGGTGAAGCAACAGCTCCCCTGGTGGCCAGAAAAGTTGGAATGTTAAATAGCCTCTGACTGTCTGTCTATATGTGTTGTGTGTCTATGGCATTGAATGTTTGCCATGTATATGAGTCCCCTGCAGGGTGAGGAGGGCGGAATATAAATACTGTAAATAAATAAAAAACCATAACCAGGACTGGAACCTGGGCCAGAACCATAATCAGGACTGGGACCACAGGCCAAAACCGGTACCAGCACCATAACCAGCACTGGAACCCAGGCCAGAACAGGAACTCAGGTCAGAACCAGGGCCAGTCTGCTTCAGGAGGTACTCTGGGGGCACCAAAAGCCCAGCAACCAATGAGCCCTCCCACCAGTCCCTTGAGCAGTCCCTGCCTTCTCTAAAGAATAGATTCCCATCCGGACCTACTCCCACAAGTCTTTGGAGAACACAGTAGAGGTGAGCTCCCTCCAGCCCTGTTGGAAATAGCAACCTTCTACAAGCCTCCTATACTAGTTATTTGTTATGTATATAATTCAGACTGAGACTCCATTTTAGACGTCTGTGTTGTGTATTGTATAGTCAGTATTCATTATGCATTAGACATAAGACAGAATAGACTGCAATAGGATGCCTTAGAGAACGTAAACAATTAACCTATATGCTCAATACACGAAGTTTGTAAGTAAACCAACTATGCTATTTTTTTTTAGCAAAGACTACTTATTTTTGTCTCTTGAGAGCATGATTTAAAAGCAAATATATTTTATGGGAGAGTAGATATTTTTTAGACAACTAAAATAATACTTTAGAAGATCTGCTATATATTTTGTGCACTGGCATAATCTTCATTCCTAACAGTTCAGAAATATAATCAGGTATATCAGTCTAACAACTGAGAAGCCTAATTTGCTTTGCATGAATACTAGTGGATATGTACCACTAAAGAGAAGATCCCCTCAAAAAAAGTTATGATTCTCCAAAAGGTCATGCTTCCAAAAGGTTTTGGAGATTCTGGTTTTCCCAAAGGTTATGATCTCAAAGGTCATCCTTTTCCCAAAAGGCCCAGCCCGCTTCCTCCAGCCACCCAAAGGCCCCGGCACCAACCCACCTGTGCCCAAGAAGAGGACATCGTAGGCCTGGTGCAGGCCCTGGACACGCTGGACGGAGACCTGCCGGTAGCGTGAGTGTCCCTGCAGGAGGAGGGGTTGGCTCCGGACAGCGCTGTCCATCAAGAAGTGGTCCTTGAGGTAGTTGAGCACTCGGTCAGGCATCTGGAGGGAGGAGGCGATCTTCATCTGGCGGTTGATGCACTGCGGAAGGAAGGGGCTCTCAGAGGCATCTCACCAGGAGTCCTGGGACCAGGGGCTCTGAGGAGAGCTCCATATGTTGCCTTCTCTGGGAATCCAGGGACAAAGGAATGAGGAGCCAAGCAGCTTTGGTTCCAAGGCCACTGAAGCATAGAATCCTAGAGTTGGAAGAGACCCCCAAAGGCCATCCAGCCTAACCCTCTTCTTTTTGCCATGCAGGAAAAGTACCCCCAACAGATGGTCATCCAGCATCTGTTTCAAAGCCTCCAAAAAAGGAGCCTCTGCTACAGGAGGCATCGTCCAGTATGTCCAGTAAGTGGATTCTCCACCTCAGACATCAGAAGAACTGTAAGACCGAGAACAAGCCACGAGAGTCAAGACAAAGACCCACCCAGAGAAAAAGTGTTCTTGCCATACATCAAGGGAACCACTGACCGCATAGGGAAGCTAATGAGGAAACACAACATACAAACTATCTACAGACCCACAAAGAAAATCCAACAAATGCTACGTTCAGCAAAGGACAAGAGGGATCCTCTCACCTCTGCAGGAGTCTACTGTGTACAATGCAGCTGTGGACAAGAAGTCTACATTGGGACCACCAAATGCAGCATTGCGCAGACACGAATCAAGGAACATGAAAGGCACTGCAGACTAATTCAACCAGAGAAATCAGCCATAGCAGAGCACCTGATGATACAATCTGGATACAGCATTTTCTTTGAGAGCACAGAAATGTTGGACCACTCCAACAACCACCATGTCAGACTACACAGAGAAGCCATTGAAATCCATAAGCATGTGAACAATTTCAACAGAAAGGAGAAAACCATGAAAATGAACAAAATCTGGCTACCAGTATTAAAAAACTCTAAAATTAAAACAGCAGAGGGAAAACAATCAGGAACATCTAATCACATCTCAACAAAAGATTGCTCCAGACACCGCCAGGCCATTAAATGCTAATCAAGGTGGTCAGTTGAAACATTCACACCTAACTCCAGCAGACAAGAGTTCTTTGTCCCACCCTGGGCATTCTACAGATATATAAACCCTTTTCCTAGTTCCAACAGACCTCACTACCTCAGAGGATGCTTGCCATAGATGCAGGTAAAACGTCAGGAGAGAATGCATCTAGAACACGGCCATACAGCCTGAAAAAACCTAAAACAACCCAGTGATTCCAGCCATGAAAGCCTTTGACAATATGTCCAGTAAGTATTTTTACTGTGCTGTAACATCAATCAAGACACGAGGGGAGATGGGTACAAAACCAAATTATTATTCTTGTCATTATCATCATCATTATAGAATCATAGAGTTGGAAAAGAGCTTGTGGGCCATCCAGTCCAACCCCTTTCTGCCAAGAAGCAAGAAAATTGCATTCAAAGCACCCCTGACAGGTGGCCATCCAGCCTCTGCTTAAAAGCCTCCAAAGGAGCTTCCACCACACTCTAGGGCAGAGAGAGAGAGTTCCACTGCTGAACAGCTCTCACAGTCAGGAAGTTCTTTCTAATGTCCAGGTGGAATCTCCTTTCCTGTAGCTTGAAGCCATTGTTCAATTGCAGAAAGGAAGCTTGCTCCCTCCTCCTTACGACTTCCACTCATATATTTATCCATGGCCCTCATCATGTCTCCTAGCCTTCTCTTCTGCAGGTTAAACAAGCCTAGTTCTTTAAGCCGCTCCTCATAGGGCTTGTTCTCCAGACCCTTGAGTCTTTGAGTCGCCCTTCTCTGGACACATTCCAGCTTAGAGTCAACATCTCCCTTCAACTGCAGTGCCCAGAACTGGACACAGTGTGATTTCAGATGTGTTCTGACCAAGGCAGAATAGAGTATGGGTAGCATGACTTACCTGGATCTACACTAGGCTTCTATTTATGCAGGGCAAAATCCCACTGGCTTTTTGAGCCACCACATCACATTGTTGGCTCATGTTTAACTTGTTCCCCATGAGGACTCCATTATTATTATTATTATTATTATTATTATTATTATTATTATTATTATTATTATTGATTTTGTTGATACGTACTGCTCCAGGCCGGGGCTCTGGTACGGGGCGGGTATCCGTATACCACTGCTGCGTCTCCCGGTTGACCTCCTTGTAGAGTCCATTGAAGGCCTTCTCCACATCCGAAATGGAGAAGGCGCACACGGCCGCACCCCCGGCCCCCTTCCTGTCCCTGGAGAGACATTGGAGGGAAGGGGTTGTCAGCACAAGCAGCTGCAGAACTGCCTCCCCCATGGAGGTGGAGCCCCATGGCAACCAACCACTTTCTGCAGGAGTCCCTCAAGCTGAGAGGCTGATCTAATGGTTGCGGTGGGCACGGCACCCTGCCCAATGTGTGCCCCCCAAAAGATTTGCCCCCCAAATGCTCACCATTGGGASGTGAAGACACCATAGAAGATAGTCTTCCTCCAGTCCTGGCCAGGGGTCAAGACAAACATGTCCTGCAGCARGTTGAAGGGGAAGCCGTCCTCGGGGTGTGAGCAGAGTAGGGGCGCCTTGAGGAAYGTGGTCCACCGCCGCTGCAGCACCCGCTCACCCCCCACATCGCCCTGCGAGGAGGAGGCGGAAGAAAAGGGGGGGAATGAGCCTTCCCTGGCTTCTGGGGTGGGAGAGCAAGCCATTCTGATTTGGTAGTCCTTTCACAACAGGAGACAGGGAAAGGGAAGGGAAAAGTGAAAGGGAAGGGGGAAGGAAAAAGGGAAAAGGGGAAGGAAAAGGAAAGAGTAAAGGAAAAGGGGAAAGGGAAGGGAAAGGGATAAGGGGAAAGGAATAAGAGGAAGAGAAAGGGAAAAGGGGAAGGTGAAAGGAAAGGGAAAGGGGGAAGGGCGAAAGGGAAAGGAAAGAGGAGAGGAAAGGGAAAAAAGAAAGGGGGAAGGGAAGGGGAAGGGAAAGGGAAAGATAAAAAGGGAASGGGAGGGAAAGGGAAAGGGGAAAGGAGAGGGGGAAGGGAAAGAGGAAGGGAAAGGGAAAAAAGAACGGTGGGAAAAGAAGAAGGGAAAGGGGGAAGGGAAGGGGAAGGGATAAGGGAAAGGGAAAAGGGGAAGGTGAAAGGAAAGGATAGGGGAAAGGGAAAGGAAAGAGGAAGGGAAGGGAAAGGGAAAAAAGAAAAGGGGAAGGGAAAAGAGGAAGGGAAAAGGGGAAGGGGAAAGGAAGGTAAAAGGGAAGGGAAAGGGAAAGGAAAGGGGAAGGGAAAAAGGGATAAAAAGGGAAGGAAAGGAGGAGCGCAGCAGGAGATTTGCACAGAAAGGAGATCCTTCTCTTTCCACCCAAAACAGGTAGATCAGGATCCAGGGGCGGATCTGTGGGAGATCTGCACCTGGCCTGCCAGGGCTCCTCGTGCCTCAACATTTCAGCCACTTGAAGGCCTTTTCCCATGGCTCTTATTAACACCAACAACAACTACACAGGATGCTAGAAAAACATCACGAAGCTGGTGCCGAGTTGGGAGGGACCCTGATCGCCCACAAATGCCAAAAAGCTTGTGTGTCAGCTATGCGCCCAACCTCACCTTGCACACGCGCGCAATGCGTGAGACGATGGTGTCTTCAAAGAAGTCAAACTCCTTCCCGCTCTCGCTGAAGAAGAAGTAGATCTTGTCGTCATCATCCCCATTATCATCTCCGTTGATGGGCGGGAGGCTTTGGTGTAAGAAGGCAGAGCCCACAAAGAAGGGGTCTGCAAAACAGAACGAGAGAGTAGGAACCCACCAAGGTCCAGGCTGGAGCCCCCTCACAGACACACACATACACATTGCAGGCCCCGCCCAGTTCTACTGGGTTATCATGCCAAGGGAAAGGGGTGTGAAAACACATTTGGGTTTGAGGCCCTTATAAAGGAGCCCAACATCACGGAAAGGGCTAAATCAAGACCCCATCCCTTGCCCTGAGCTCTGTGGAGTGGCATGCAGGAGGGATTGCCTCCCCAGCCCCACTGTAGCCCCACTGTCCACCTTGTAGCCAGTTGAGGGAGTTCTCTGTCTTGATGGCCGGCCGGCTACCGTGGCTCCGGAGGATGGAGGGCTCATTGCCTTGGAAGTTGCTGACGGTCCCCGTGTAGAGCTCTCCCTCTGCAAGGAAGTGGCATTCAGGGAGGGGACAGGAAAGAGAGATGGGGAGGAGGGCAAAGTGGAAGGGCCAGCAAGGGAGGCAGTAGGGCTCCCCCCACAGCCAAGGGAGTTCCTTACCGACCATGATGGCGGTAGACTTGTACTCAGGGTCAAACGGGCAGCGCCCCTTCCCGTCCTCCAGCACCAGCCGCCCAGATGTTTCCCGAACCAAGCTGAAGTCTGGGACTTTCTGTAGGGAAGACGAGAAGAAGGCCTTGAAGAAGGAGATGGGAAGGCGGAGGATTGCTTTTGTCAGAAATATTAAAAATTAGCTAGGTATTGAGTTGTTGTAGGTTTTTTCAGGCTATATGGCCATGTTCTACAAGCATTCACAACTTCTGAGGATGCTTGCCATAGATGCAGGCAAAACATCAGGAGAGAATGCTTCTACAACATGGCCATATAGCCTGAAGAAACCTACAACCCGGTGATTCCAGCCATGAAAGCCTTCGACAATACATAGCTAGGTATTTTTAATTACAAAAATGTGAGTCATGCACTGGAAGGGTTAAATAGATGCAATGACACAGTAAAACCTGCAGTTCAATATAAGAAGGTGTGCCTGTAGCTTAGTAGCCCTCAGTCTGTGAGGTCTCTGTGGGAGAAGGGCCTCAATGTTAGTTCACTTCAGTATGAGAGAGGTGTCAGTCTGTGAGAAGGCCTCAGTGGGAGAAGTCCTTTGGCGTGTGTTTTGGACTTCAACTCCCACCGTGTCAGTCTGTGAGAAGGCCTCAGTGTGAGAAGTCCTCAGTGGGAGAAAGACCTCAGTGTGAGAAGGTCTGGTGTGAGAAGCTTCAGTGAGAGGAAGCCCCAGGTTGGAGACCATCGTGTGTGAAGTTCCAGTGTGAAGGCTGCTGTGTGTAAAGCTACTGTGTGAAGCTCCTGCATAACTTCGGTGTGAGAAGAGGCTCTGTGAGAGCAAAGCTGTTTATCTGCATGGGAAAGAAGCCCAGCGTGGAAGCAAAGAAGGAAGTGTGAAGAACTTTGTGTTATGGAAATCTTGTTCTTGTAAATAGTGCAACCATATTATTGTACTACAAGGAAAAGCCTCCTCTGGAAGATATAACATTGGGCTGTGTGTGTGTAAGTGAGTTTTTTTTTAATCACTTTGGGCTACTGGTGCTGGGTCACGCTGTTGCTAATTAGTTACTCTGCTGTACATTGATGAGGAGGGTCTTTTGTTAACAAGCCCACTCACCCAACAGCTTTCTCAAAGTAAAAGAACCAGAGTCTCAAAGGTGAGTCAATGACACCTGCTAAACTTGGCACACCTCTCCTGCTCATCCTAAACCCGGCCCAGGATGCCTTATAACTGGCTCTCTGTTTCCACAGATTAACCTTCTGTGGGTTCAATGACCCTTTGAAGGAAACCATATTAAGGCAGATGTGGCCCTCAATGTAAATAAGTTTGACACCCCAGTATTAGGAGCTTCTGGAGGCGGGTACACAAACTCCTGCCCAGGCCCAAGAGACCCCCGACTTCCCCAATGTCCCCTCACAATGTAAGCGCAGGTGGGGCTGAAGGCACTGGTCCCGCAGGTGTACAAGTGGGTCTCGTTCAGTTGCAGGAGGATCTTGATGTAGTTGTAGCAGTCCCTCTGCAAGGCAAAGAGGAAGAGAGGACATATATGGGTGTTTTGGCTTGCCCGTTGTGTTGGGATCGCTCCCTCCCACAGCTGACTGACCAGTCCTCCTGACCGGTGACTCATCCAAGGCCTCTGTCACTCACCTGGGGATCTTTGCCCTTGAAAACGCACTGGCGCTTCTTCTCCTCCTCGGCCTCCCATGACAGCTGCGGGACACAAAAGGGACACTCTATTTACACAGTTTTAATGACAAATTCTAAATTTCCATTCTAACTTTTTGTGTATTTTAATATGTATTTTATAGGAATATGTTTTAATATTTAAGACCCAACCGAGAGAGGGAAATGAGTGCTAGATCGTCTGCATACATCAGGATGAAAGTTTTTCTATTCCTGATTACTGGTGAAGGAGAGTCAATTTTAGCCAAACAAGGCGCTGAATCATTCATATAGCTCAGGCATGGGCAAACTTGGGCCCTGCAGGTGTTTTGGACTTCAACTCCCACCGTTCCTAACAGCCTCAGGCCCTTTCCTTTTCCTTTTCCCCCTCAGCCGCTTAAGCGGCTGAGGGGGAAAAGGAAGGGGCCTGAGACTGTTAGGAACAGCAGGAGTTAAAGTCCAAGTCCAAAACACCTGCGGCGAAGGCCCAAGTTGGCCAATGTCTAATACAGATGTTAAAAAGAGTGGAGGCCAATGAGCACCCCTGTTTTACTTCTCATGTTGTTGGAAAAGCTTCTGTTAGAGGACCATTTCTGCCAACTCTGACCCTCATTTCTGTGTTAGTGTATAGTTCCTGCAATCTCAAGAGTCTGCAGTCAATGCCAGAATGCCAGTTTCTCCCATAAACCTGCAAAGGTAGTGAAAAATTAACACGTACTGGGACTTTCAAATTCAGACTGACAAAGTTTTGGAACACAATACACCAGACATCACCATTGTGGAAAAAAAAAAGGTTTGGACCTCACAACCTCTGAGGATGCTTGCCATAAATGCAGGCGAAACGTCAGGAGAGAATGCTTCTAGAACATGGCCATATAGCCCGAAAAACCTATAAGAACCCAGTGATTCCAGCCATGAAAGCCTTCGACAATACGTTGAACATTACAAATTACCAGACTGATATTACGTAACATGCCAAAATAAACAATGCCTTTTTCAAATAACCAGGGCATCATTGGGTACCCAAGTTAGTAATAATTATTAATACTTATCTATGTTGGCTCCCACAAAATATGACTCCCCAAGTATTTAAAAGCATCCCCCCAAAGATCCAATCCCCTCCACTCTAAATGGGCTTGAAAGGGACCCAAAGAGGCATGTTGAGACTTGAGACCAGCCCAAAACAGGGGCCAGTGATTGCATCGTTGTGGTCTTCTTGACCTGCGAAGAAGCCCGCCTGGAGGGACTATAAACCCACCACAAATCCCTCCAAGCTAGTCAAGCACCTGGTCAGAAATGGGTGCTGTCCACCCACCCTCTCATTGTGCAAGGTTGCTTCCTCCTTGAGCCCAGTTTCTTCCACCTGGCCTTCCTTGCTGACCCATCCATCCCACCCATTCCCCTTGAGCCACAGCCAAGCCCTGCCTGCGTCAAGACCAATGTTTGTGAGCGGCTCCCAGATTCTGGGTGTGGAACCAAATGTGCCTGTTGCACAAGGAGATGGCAAGAGATACGGGCCACCCACCCACCTACCACCCACCTGCCTCCTTGCCAGCTGCTTGTCCTGTCTCTGGGAGACGGAGGGACTCCTTGGCTCAGCCCCCCTCCCAGTGGATTGCTGCCCACCCAAACCAGTTAAAGGAGAGCAGGTGCCCACCCCTCACCTTCCGGTGCTGTGTCCCCGGGGAAAAAGCGCTGGTGTCGAGGGCCAGGAGTGCTTCGCGGGCTCCGACATAGAGGCGGCTTCCATCCGGGCTGAGCATCAGGGCCGTGAAGTTGGTGGTCCCCGGCATAGCAAAACGTCCCAATCGCCTCTGGGGGGAGTCTGTTGGCACAAGTTGGGGGCAGTAACAATGAATGATGGGGGGAAGCCACTTCCCTAATATCTGGGCCATGAATGAAATGCAAAGAGACAGGATTAGTGAGTCCCATGTGAAAAATATAATGTTGTCTTGGTGGACAACTAGTTGAACATGAGCCAAGTGTGTGATGCAGCAGCTAAAAAAGCCAATGAGATTTTGGGCGGCATCCAAAGGAGTCTAGTGTGTAGATCAGGCATGGGCAAACTTGGGCCCTCCAAGTGTTTTGGACTTCAACTCCCACCATTCCCAACAGCCTCAGGTCCTCAAGAAAATAAACAAAAAAAAAAAAGACAACAGCCTCAGGTCCCTTCCTTTTCCTCCTCAGCCGCTTAAGCGGCTTAGACCTCTTTACCCGGAATATTGTGTCCAATTCTGGGCACCACAAGAGAGACGACAACAACAACTCTAAGCTATAAGGTGTCCAGAAGAGTGCAACTAAAATGCACAAAGGTCTGGAGACCACGAATAATCCCTATGAGGAGCATCTTAAAGAGCTGGGTCTGTTTAGCCTGCAAAAGACAAGGTTGAGAGGAGACATGAGAGCCATGTCTAAACATCTGAAAGGATGTCATAAGGAAGCGAGAGTAGGCTTCCTTTCTGTTGCCCTTGCGACTAGGACTCAATGGAGCCATGGGTTGAAATGACAGGAAAAGAGATTCCACTCGAACTTTATTAGGAAGGACTTCCTGACTTTACGGAGAGTTGTTCAGCAGTGGAACTCTCTGCTTCAGAGTCCAGTAGAAGCTCCTTCCTTGGAGGCTTTTAAACAGAGGCTGGATGGCCATCTGTCAGGGGTATTTATTTATTTATTCACTACTAGCCGTCCCCTGCCATGCGTTGCTGTGGCCCAGTCTGTGTATATGTGTATTTGTGTGCGTCTATATTTGTTTGTTTGTGTATATATCTATGGTTTTGTGCATGCATTGCAATGTATTTTTTTATTTTTTTGGCTGTTTAAGTCTCTTCCGCTGTGTTTTTCAGTGTTTTTATGAGTGATGGTCACTCATTGGCCTGATAGGTGTCTTGTGTCCAAATTTGGTGTCAATTTGTCCAGTGAATGAACATTACATTTTTATTTATATAGATATTTATATACCACCTTTCTCTCCCCAGGAGGGGGGGACTCAAGGCGGTTTACAACATACTAATGGCAAAAATTCAATGCCAACATACATGTAGACAGAAAAAAATAATAATAACCAAAATTAAATTAAATTAAAATCGTTAAAACCATTAAACATGACACATAAACAAACATTTAAACATTAAAAACATCCTAGTATAAATATTAAAATCACATAATCCAAAAATTTTACAACGTGGTCATTTCGATTGTCATTGCACATCTTTCCTAATTATTCTTTGCACTGCATTATTTTACTGGCCAAAGGCTTGCTCCTACAACCATGTCTGAATGCAAGGAGGGAGGGTGCTGATCTAATCTCACTGGGGAGAGAGTTCCAGAGCTGAGGAGCCACCACTGAGAAGGCCTTGTTTCTCGTCCCCACTAATCGCAGCTGTGAGGGAGGTGGGTCTGAGAGCAGGGCCTCTCCAGAAGATCTCAACCTCGGAGATGGTTCATAGAGGCAGATATGTTTGGACAGATAAGCTGGGCTGGAACCATTTAGGGCAGTGTTTCTCAACCTGGGGGTCGGGACCCCTGGAGGGGTCGCCAGGGGGTGCCAGGGGGGTCACCAAAGACCATCAGAAAACAGTATTTTCTGTTGGTTATGGGGATTCTGTGTGGGAAGTTTGGCCCAATTCTATCATTGATGGGGGTCAGAATGCTTTTTGATTGTAGGTTTACTATAAATCCCAGCAACTACAACTCCCAAATGTCAAGGCCTATTTTCCCCAAACTCCACCAGTGTTCACATTTAGCATACTGAGTATTTGTGCCAAGTTTGGTCCAGATCCATCATTGTTTGAGTCCATAGTGCTCTCTGTAGGTGAACTACAACTCCCAAACTCAAGGTCAATGCCCACCAAACCCTTCCAGTGTTTTCTGTTGGTCGTGGGCATTCTTTGTGCCAAGTTTGGTTCAATTCCATCGTTGGTGGAGTTCAGAATACTCTTTGATTGTAGGTGAACCATAAATCCCAACAACTACAACTCCCAAATTATGTTTCATAACAGGAGCAAATTTACAGTTATGAAGTAGCAAAAGAATGTTATGGTTGGGGGTCACCACAACATGAGGAACTGTATTAAAGGGGTCACGGCATTAGGAATGTTGAGAAACACTGATTTAGGGCTTTATAGGCTAAAGCCAGCACTTTGAATAGTTGCAAACTGGCAGCTAGTGGAACTGACATTACAGGCGAGTTGTGTGCTTCCTGTATGCTGCCCCGTTAGAAATCTGGATGCCGCTCATTTTGGAGCTTCCAAACAGTCTTCAAGGGCAGCCCAACGTAGAGCGCATTGCAGTAATCTATTCTTGATGTAACAGGATTGCAGACCACTGTGGGTACTTTGTGCCTTTCCTGCCTGGCTGAATTGGGGTTGGGCTGGATGGTCCATGTAGTCTCTTTCAACTCTATGATTCTAGGGGTTTCAACTGGACAGGTCAGGAAGTACATGGTCTGTATGTGGCAGTACCCACCCCGTCAGCGTATCGTCCTCTGAATCGGAGGCTTGCAGGGGCCATTCTTGCCTCCTGGTGCAGCTGAACCCATGCCACAAGTAGACCGCCCAGCACATTCCAGCCTGTCAAACCTTTCTGTGTGACTGACGATTGGCAGGTGCTATTCTAAGTCCGCAACACGCAGCACGAGGCTCACAGCGGACATGAACATAAAATATTAACTCAGGAAAGAAAACCGTCCCGGACCCAGAAAGGCCCTAGGCTTTTTCTGACTGGCTCCCTCTCAGCCAGGGTCGGAAAAGGACGAAGGGTCCTGCAAGGAGAAAGGGGTTTCGAAGGGCCCCACAATCACGGCTTGGGGGTCAGACCAGGACCCCAAAGGACAGGGTTCAAGCTTGCGGTCAGACACGGAGACCCTTTAGTGGCCTTGGGCAGGTCACTGTCAGAAATATTAAAAATTAATTGAATATTTTGATTACAAAAGTGTGAATGAAAGAGTTAATAGTCCAAAGCCTGTCAGAGTTAGTGGGCCAAAGCTAGCATTGCCCCAAGGAGAGTGAGTAGGCCTGAAGCCTGTTAGTGTTAGTTTGCCTCAGTGAGGGGACGCCTCAGCCTGTGTGAGGTAAACCTCTGAATGAGAGAAGACTCGTGTGATAAAGCTCCTGTACAAAAGCTGCTGTGTGTAAAGCGACTATGTATTTATTTATTTGTGTTATATGGAAACCTTGTTATTGCAAATAGTGCAACTATTTTATTTTACTACAAAGAAAAAGCCTCCTTTATTTATTATTTACGACATTTATATGCCGCTCCTCTCACCCCAAAGGGGACTCAGAGCAGCTTACAAGTTATATGTAAATACAATATATTATATTTTTAGCAAAGCACAATATTAGTACCAGACATTCCCATATTGTACTATCCCACTGAAATACAACACTGAGCTCTGCGAGTGCAGCATTTTTCTGAATGAAGCACAGAGTGTTTGAGGACTGAGCCATCTGTAGCAATACCAAGGTGCTTGTTTATAAAGCTATTGTCCTCCCAACCTTGTTACACGCCTGCAAGACGTGGACTATCTACAGACATCACATGCAACTCCTAGAACAATTCCATCAGTGCTGCCTCTGAAAAATCCTGCAAATCTCTTGGGAAGACAGGCGGACAAATGTCAGCGTGCTGGAAGAAGCAAAGACCACTAGCACTGAAGCGATGGTCCTCCGCCATCAACTCCGCTGGACTGGCCACGTTGTCCAAATGCCCGACCACCGTCTCCCAAAGCAGTTGCTCTACTTCGAACTCAAGAACAGAAAATGGAATATTGGAGGACAGAAAAAGAGATTAAAAGATGGGCTCAAAGCCAGCCTTAAAAACTCTGGCATAGACACCGAGAACTGGGAAGCCCTGGCCCTTGAGCGCTCCAGCTGGAGGTCAGCTGTGACCAGCAGTGCTGTAGAATTTGAAGAGGCACAAATGGAGGGTGAAAGACAGAAATGTGCCAAGAGGAAGGCGCGTCAAGCCAACCGCGTTTGGGACCGCCTATCACCTGGAAACCGATGCCCTCACTGCAGAAGATGCAGATCAAGAATAGGTCTCCACAGCCACCTACAGACTTACCACCAAGACACTACATTTGGAGGACCATCATCCTCAGATAACAAGGGATCGCCTAATTAACAAGGAATTCCTCACTGTGGGAGAACATGCAGGTCAAGAATAGGGCTCCACAGTCACCTATGTACACACCGCCAGTACACCAATCTTGGAAGACAATCCTACTCGGACATCGAGGGATCGCCTAAGTAAGTATCCCACTATACTGTAATATTAATAGTGATATTACATGTAATATGAAATATATAATTATGTTATATTATTATTATATTGTATTATATTATAACATTATTATCATGAAATATATAATTATTATATTGTATTACATTATAACATTATTATCATGAAATATATGATTATTATATTGTGTTATCATTATATTGTATTACATTATAACATTATTATCATGAAATATATAATTATAATATTATATTATTATTATATCACATTATTATATCGCATGTTGTGTTGGGCCTCGTCCTCTTGTAAGCCGCACCGAGTCCTTCGGGAGATGTTAGTGGGGTACAAATAACGAGTTATTATTATTATTATTATTATTATTATTACATTATTATCAATATTATATGTGTATACAATATATTATTAGCACAGCACAATATTAGTACTGGAAGAGATAGCATTGGTCTGTATGTTTTTATAAGGAGAGTATTTTCTTAATTAGCCCATTTGCTCAACACACACTCTCTCAGCCTCTGAAGAGGGCAATGGGAAGCCTCCTCTGAAGAGAAACTCTGAAAGATGGCC